TTCTTCCCTCCCTGGCAAATTGATATTAGAATTGAATCCTGGGAAGAACACAAGAAAACACATTATGTGTCACGTGCATGTTATATACAGTGGACATTAGACAGGGTAACTATTTAGATTCCAGCATGCATAATATAAGCAGAGCACTCCAACACAGTGCAGGAAGTTTCTTATGCTGCGTTTCCAGTATTGGAACCTAATGAGCGGTATACCCCATACGTCCCCTAACCATCCTGCTTTGTTTTTCCACTGTATTTTCTCTGAGTCTCGGTTTAGAGGAGGGAGGAGCTGCTCCCCTCTCACACACACATCACCCCTCTCAGCCTTGAGTTTACACATGGTGCTTGTAATGCTAATGCTTGAGGTGTGAAGACGTGGACATTTAACCAACCACCAGAAACTGCTCTGCGCATGTCCCCCTCCAACCTCACACTCCTGGTATTTGATTTTAGCACTACCTCCTGAGGGGTGCTGAAATGTAGCTCCCAGAATCCTGGAAAAACCCCTTCAATTTAAGGAGAAATGTGCAAAACAAACTAAAATATGTAATTCTGTATTAATTTTCAGTGTATATCCTCAACTTAGTCCAATCTCTCATCTCTCCTACCATTTTAAAAGTGCTCATTTATGTAGTTGTGTAGGTGACATTTACCTGCCATTGCTGCTCCATGGGCCTCAATATGTTCTCACACACTAAATGATTGGGAGACTGTGGGTAGATATGTGCATGGGAATTTGTCAGCTGCTGTCCCACACTGAGAATGTGTGGCTCCTACTCCCCCCATGGTCACAAGATGACTAAATATAAACTTGGCAGCCTCTACTCTAGGTCCCATGGGGTAGGTGCTGAATGCGCTTGAAAGAGACAACAGCCCAGGTAGAGCAAGAAAGTGAGTCCATGTGGGAGTTGTGTGCGTGTGAAGGAATGAGTCACAGTGAGTTTTTGGATTTGTACAATGAAGACCACAATGAGATAGGACTGTATTCCAGTTCTGGGGACTATGCATGTTGCTGCTGTGGCATGATGCGTCTTATGATAGTCATTCCCTGAAGCCTGTCAAGAACACTTGCCCTCTGCCATTGACATTCTTGTGGTTTTCTTATTCCTTCAGCATGAGGAAGAGGAGAAGGGAAAAGCAGCTGCTCTTCACAGAGATCTCTGGGACAGCAACTTTAACTCCTGGCCACTCCCACTGCATCAGGTGTCTTATTCAGTTACTTAACAGCAGGGAGAGAACGGAAGCAGGCCATCCTGTTAAGCCCATCGACATCCCTCTGCGCTCTGATCTGAGCAGACCGCCTCGCTTTCCCTGCTCAAAATAACAGCAAAGTTGTGAACCCCAGCCCCAGGTTCCTGTCACACTGTTTCCATGATGCCAGTGCCTTTCTGTGCAGGTCCAAGTGTTGACGAACAATGAAGAGCAACGCGTCACATGAGGCATATGGATCTGTGTGTGTGCATTTGCTCTCATACCATCTCTTATAAGGAGTTCACCCTCATGCCCCTTTCTTACAGTTATGAAGTATGACACCACTGTGCCTCATTCAAATGACGCACAGTAATATGAGCCTCTAGCAAGATGACTTATTATTGACAACAGCTAATACTTTCACCTGATCTTAATTTTTGAACTCATCTCCTACATAACAGTCCAGAATGTTGTGTTTGCTGCTGCTGGGTAGTCACCCATGCCTTCAGTAGAACATGAGTGAGCTGTTAAATATTTGATACCCATCCCCATGATTCTACTGCTTATGTATTATTAACCCAGCCACAACTGGTACACCTTGAGGAAAAAGAGACTCAGATAGAATAGCAGCTTCTTCCTTCTCTTATGTTCCTGTGCTTTCTCAGGATTCATCAATGCTGAATTCACTTTCATAAAAGCACCAGAAAGTCTCTGTGTGAATCTGAAAGCTTGGACCTGAAGACCACTATGACCCATTTTACTGAGTGCGTGTAGCAAATACATTTTTGCAAAGGTTAAGTTTTGCTTCAGTGTCACCGTCTATATGTGCTCTGCATGTAGTGCAGTGAGCTACAGCACACCAACACTGCAACACTTGATGCAAATAGGGCTAGACTAACTAGCTCATTAACTAACATGTTAGAAGGCAGGTGCAGCAGCCAAAGGGCACTGCACTGGAGACTGTAACAAATGGACTGCCTCATGTGGGCCAAAGAGGGTGGCTGGCTTCAACATCTAAATTGATGAGTTTCTGAGTCTCTAAATGTAGAGAATGGAGGGGTTATATAAAAACGCTGGGTGCTGGCTGGTGCAATTCCTACAAGTCCACCTACCAGAAGGTTCAGATATAAGCAGTTTGGCCTAGTCTGGCCCATGTTAACCCTGTACCATTCATTCAAGAATGCTGAAACAACTCAAAATAATGATTAGGGTAAAGAGGGAAAAAGGAAAGAAAACTGTACTTTGTTAGCCTCTGGTGGTCTGGTGATCTTTTGTCTGCTAATATTTTACATATGCGTAACAATGTGTGAGTGTGAGAATTACTGACAGACCTCCATCTCTCATCTTGCGGCCAGACGTGGACTTTCTCAGCAGGCTGCGCCCAGAGCTGAACAGAGTGTTGAGCTCATCCATGGGGCTGGTCAGCGGCCTGCCATTGGCTGGGTTGAACAGCAGGGGAGAGGAGGAGCATGAGTGTGCTCTTCGAGGCTCGGGACGAGACATCTTCACTGGGGAGTAGGGAGGTGGCTTCCCCAGTGGCTCCCCACCTGCCCTTTGTGAAGGTGTTTTGGGGGAATCTGAGCCCCCTGTGACAGATGTTGCTCGCGTCAGAGCTAGGAAGCTGGCCTCAGGTGGGAAGGTGAAGTGTGAAGGAGGTCTGTAGGGAGGAGGGGGGGCACTGGGGGGAGGAGGTGGAGGTGCAGGCGGAGGAGTGAGTGGCGGTGTAGACTTCTTCTCTGGCATAAGGACTGTGAGGCTAGGGGAGGAATCAGCCCTCTGGCGGGCATACTGTGGGGACAGGGGGCTGTCTGGACCAGTGGCATAGTTTAGGTTTGTCTCAAACACTGGTAGCTTTTTTACCTCTAGTGGGGTGAGTGGTGATTCATCAGAAGCAGGAGAGCAGGTAACGGGTGAGGGGGGAAACACCAGAAGAGGTGGACGGTGTGGGAGCAAGTTGGGGAAAGGAGCAGGGATATCACAGCTGCCATCTTTTCCGTGCTGAGATTTGGGAGCTCCACCTGTAAATGTACTCTGTGAGTGAGCAATGTCCATGGCAGTGATCCCCCCTGCTGCCATGCGTTTGGTCTCCCTGCTCTGAGGAGGAGAGGACCCTAATCCCACCAGGCCTAAGCCTAGAGCCTCCAGTTTGGCTGCTTTGGTAACCCCAGCAGCAGGAGGTCCACCATCTTCAGGAGGGAAATACTTCATCTCCTCATAGACAGCTTCTGAGTCAGCCTGTTCTGGACTATCAGGGGGCTCCTGGAGATTCCGTGCCCGTGGCTGGGAGCCCAACATCTCTATGTACACATCCTCTTCATCATGGTCCTGGTACAGGCTCAGTGCTACCCCTTGTGGAGTATCTATGGAGGCTGCTTTCTGCATCAAACCACCAAAACCTCCAAATCCTCCAGCACGGGACAGCAAGGCCAGCTTTACATCAGCGGGCCGCAGCTGGTGGAGTTGGGGTGCTACAGCATTGATCTCCTCATACGAGCCTGTGAGCTTAGTGTTGGGACTTCGCTTAGGTTTTGGGGGTGGCACCTTCCTCATGGTGGTGTAGTCATCACTGTGAGGGCGGGGCTTGGACAAACCTGAGGAAATTAAAAAAAATAAAAAGCAGTTAAATACAAAGATAGAATTAGACAACAGCACTGAGGCACAATAGCCACCATTAGCTCTAAAAGACCATTGGAGGTGATGTACCTGCAGGGTCTGTGGGGGACAGCTGGGCTTTAGGGGGGCTTCCAGCTGGCGAACCATAGCCCTCTGGAGTGGGGTTCTCTTTGGCTGCCATCATCAACCCGGCACTAACTGCTTCATAAGATGCACTCAGACGAGTGTTGGGGTCCCTCTTTGGTTTGGGAGGAGGTTGCTTCCTAGGAGAGGAAAGACTTCCTCCACCTGCTCCGTCCTCACTGGTATGAGCTAGCTGCTGCAGGGCAGGTTTGATGGGTGGACTAGAGGAATGGACCATGCTCTCCATGGCGAGAGGGGTGGGAACTGAGCTGGACCGAAAGTGACGAATAACCCGACTGCCCCCATTGACAGGGCCCTCCTGGACTTTCCCACTTTTCTCCACAACCCTACAAATGAGTAGAAAGCCTGGTTCACACTACGCAGTCTTTCTGTCTGATATGTCAAATTACACAATTATAAAATGATAAATTCTTGCCATGACTTGGACGAGGGATATAACAGACAACACATTGGTACATGACAGATTGCAGTTTGCCATCGTTCATGACTAGTGTAAAGGGGGTGCCGGGAGAATGTAAACACAGAATCAACTGTCGTGTCCTAAGCCTATTTCGGTTGCAACACCCTATAACTGTTGGGTCGGGCTGTTACAGAACTCTAAATCATGTACTTGGAACCTGACAAAAATAATACCTGAATTCATGTTTAAATGAATGAAAAAGAATATAAATTTTTAGACTTTGTTGTTTTTGACCATTCGTAATATGCTTGACTCCTGCTTTCCACAACAAAGCATTTAGCCAAATAGTACTTTGCCCCATCCAATTATTTTCTGATCCAAATTAAGTTAATTACATCATTTACATCATTGGAATACTCAAACTCATTATATGCATTCTTCAACTGCCATTCTTCAAATATGAGTTAAGAAGGCCAATTGGAGGACAAAGTCCAAAGAGATTATACTTTAAATCTAATCTCCTTGCAGTAATTTGGTAACATCCAGTTTAATATTTCCTTCTCTAATCTGGGTGAGCCATCTGTTGGGGGGTGGGGGTGGGGTAAGCCAATGTGTAGGAGATGGGGGAAGGCATTTTAAAAACCTAGAGAGGGTTTGGGTGAATGCGTGTGCAAAAGTGTGTATCGTCTCTACGATTCCTTTCCTATTCCGCCTGTCACCCGTCCTCCTGATGGAGTCCCCCTGCGCTCCTGTCTCCTGCCCCAGCAGCAGATGTTACATTCACAAGGACACAGAGAGGACACAAAAATCATGTGTGTATCTTACTTTTCAGAATGTATTGCTTTATCCTAATGTTAACAAATAATTATTTTTATTATTAAAAAGTATTAAAAGTTGCTGTTGCAGTCACTGCAGTGTTGTGACCCTTTCACATTTTTATTTCTCATTTATGCTCTTTGCCCATTGAAATAAACAAGTAATTTTAAATAGCTTATTTTTAACTTAATTTCAGCTCATTTAAAATTTGTTGTTTGTTTATTTAATATTATTTTTTATATTATATTTTCAAGCAAAACACCTGCATGTGCCTTTTGGAAGATTTATCTTGCACATTTATTTGGTCATTTTGTGAAAAGGCCTTGAGATGTTAATGAATAAATATTGTCAAACTGAAACAAAAGTTGGACTTGTGTAACAATGGAAACAAACAGCACCAATGATGCTGATTCCTTTGCAGAGACAGAAAGATGCTATTGAAATAATAAATGCAGTTATCATGCAGCATACCATAGAAAGCTTAAAAATATATCACTTATGCACCTTTACAGGCTTATTAGTTCTGAAATGCATTGGTGACACTTCAGATATTATTGTAAATAAGGCCATCATTTTTCAGAAAGTAGGAAAACGACTATAAAATCCTTCATTTATAAAGTCCTTCGTTTAGTGCCCACTCTAAAGAGCTTCTTATTACCTTTTTTGAAACCCTTCTAAATCAGCCCTCCAGGGTTATTCCAAATTCTACAGACTTGATATGTTATAGCAGAATGAAGTGAAGCGGATAAGAAGGATAGCGTTCTAAAGGTGCAACACTAAACTAATACAATCTGATAAGGCAGCTCATTGACTATCCACCATGAAACATATGATTAAAAGATTACAGTGCACAGGGATACAATGATGCCATTAATCACAAAACGAATGCCACACAGTCATGCAGAAACACATAAATAAAGACACACATGTGCAGGCGCACACACATTTATAAAGGCAAATGAGTCTTTCATATTCATAAATCCTGTGACTGACATTAACTACAGATTGCTGTTTTCCAAGCTACAGTCACTGAGAGGCCATCGCAGTTAGTTACAAATTATATTGTAGTAGTAAGAAAAGTTCTATTTTAATCTATTTAATCTACTCAAACAACACAAGCTTTTTGATCAGATGAATATTTGATGAGAATGTGGACAAAACACTATTAGAAATGACAAAAAAAATCATTCCTTGAATATTCTCATCTTTCACCTTAGCCTTCAAATGAATGAGGTGTGTGGGTTGTGATGGTGTTTGCTAATTTACCTCCTGACAGGCTGATCCTCCTCCTTGCCCACCGGTTCAGGCCTCTCACCAAGTGGTGGGCTGTTGCTAAGACTATTCAGAAGGCTGTTGCCATGGCAGCGCAAGCGGTCGCTCTCTCGTGCAATGTCCGATGCATTCTGGATGACCAATTGGTCATAGGTTCGCAGCCCCATGTCCTCTGCCCCCTGGAGGAAACGCTGCACACTGCACTCCTCTTTCTGCTGTAGTGACAGCCTGCGATGAACCCGCTGTCTGGCCAGCCACCCACGGACCACTGAAACACATGAGAAGAAGACGTAGATAGCAGTGTAAAGGTGTCAGAAACAAACAAGCAAACTCTTAAAAAACCATTTGGTTGCTTGTTAGTTTGGTTATTACCTTTCTGACAGGTGATGGTCTTTTTGTGAAGCTGGTAGCAGCGGTCGTTGAGCTGGTCTGCCTGCCAGTACCTCAGAAACACTTTACTGCTGCCCATCTGCACACCAAACAAAACAAGTAATCTGATCAAACATACACATCAGCAGCTTCTGGGAGTACCCAGCAGGCCCTGTGAGGTTGTTTTCTGTTGGAAATCTCAGAAGTGTGTGACTTGTTAGTTGAGAGATGGGAGAGAAGTGATGTATAAAAATAGGTGGGGGTGTGGAGCGTGGGCAGGGTGTGGGTTTGCATGTTGACCCTAGATTCTCTTCCAGAACTTAAGGGGCATTTTGAGGTCAACCAAGATCACTCTATACCAGGTGCACAGAACTGTGGGGGAGACATACTTCGACAGACACTATTCATTCCAACACACACTAAATCTAGAGTGGTGTGTGTATGTAAAGCAAGGCACACCCCCATAGAAAAAATCTTTTGCAGTGCATTGTTGAGGACTGTGTGTGCATGTGTGAGGCAGTAGCTGATGTGACCTGTAGGGTCACACATTCAGACACAACAGCAGTCTGGCAGACAGGACAGAGAGGGTGGTGGAGGGGTCCATGCTGCTGTGTGTGTGTGTGAGAGAGAGAAGAATTATGATGAGGCAGGACAGCTGGAAAGAGTTGTCAAAGAGTCTATGGGATCTTTCAAATAGAGGGTCAGGGATTAAGTCATTTGGCAAATGTGTTGTTATTGATGGAGACAGAGAAAGACACAGAACATGAGCACACACACACACCTGCCATCCTTGGAGTTTGGACTGTTGCAGAACTGAGCGACATCGCTCCTCTGGTGACAATTTCTTCTTGTCTCCCAAAGTTGGGACCACAAGGTCTTTATATCTGAGGCACACAAAGAAAAAAATGAAAACATTAGAGCTGCTAAGACAAACGCTCTCTTAAAAATTTAAATGAGTTTATATGACACTGCCTCTTTTCAGAAACACTAGGTTCAAAGGTCAGTGGGGTCATACGGCAAATCAGCCAAACTGCATCTGCTCCTATTGGTGTTGCCCTGGGCAACCGTTGCTATGAACTGTCAACTAGATGGAGACAGCGGTTTGTTTGTGCCTGGGATTGTGGGGGAGAGAGGGAACATGAGCTATACTGATAAAGAATTCACAAACAGAATATATATACATGTAGCTACATGTATGCACCTGATAGTTTTTATGTAAGGTATGAATTCTGAATGTTTGGACAAGAAGGGATGAGTAGTGTAAGGATGACAGGAGTTACACTATGAGGGAAAACTGCTCTTTTATATAAAAATTAAACAAAAGAATCACCAAACACACCATCTTCTAGCCTCAAATTTAATGATGGTAAAATGCTCTGACAAATTGTGTCATTGGCCACAAATGGCACAGTGCCCCTTTGGGTGTGGTGATCCTGATGTGTTATAAATATTCTATCTATGCTGTTGAGCTTTGAGTCGAGCATACCACCTGTGCAGGATAACTGGCTGACAGATCTCTTCCCCACTGTTTACAGAGCCCATGAAGAATGCACATGCCAATAATAAAAATCATACCTGTATGAGAAAAAAGTTTAAGCCAGCATAAACAACATCAGGATCCTGAAACCGAAATGTTAAGTGGAATTATTCATTTTATTATTTCTACTTGTGTGTTTCCAACTGTGACATATCAAAATGTCTTTTATTAAAAAAAAAAACATATACTATACTAATTGGGTAGCTGTGACTGACAAGATAGAGCGGGTTGTCTGTTAATCACAGGAGCTCTTCCGGTCCACATGTTGAAGCGTCCTTGTGCAAGTGGCTGAATTGTTTCTGATGGTCACTGTCATGCCACCATTTCAACTAGCTGCTGTTACTTTGCACTGGAGCTCTTTTACAGGGATGTTGAAGAAGCATGTAGGTAGGCAGGAGTAAGTGCAAGAAATAATCACCTTTATTTGGCCAAGTATGTTACACCCAAGGAATTTGTTTCCGGTACAGAACCGAGGCAGCCATCTGTCTTACCCAAGGACACTTCGACATGTGGACTGCAGGCACTGTGATTTGAACCTCCAACTCTCCAGTTGGGAGATGACCGCTCTACCCACTGAACTACAGTCGCCCCCGAAAACTGGCATTTATGAACAAACACCTGGTCAGGTAAGTGTAAAAAAAAAAAAAAAAAAACAAATCAAAATTTATTTATATAGCACTTTACAACCACGACCAAAGTGCTTCACACAATAAGCAGAAAACAGCTCTTTAAAAACATTAAAACAGAAAGTGAACAATATACTGGAATTAGAGCCAACTACAATAAATATCAGACTTCATTATGAATTAAATGAAAAAAATCTGAAGGAGTGATTTAAACACAGCCAAATCTGTAACAGATCTCATATTAAAAGTCAGATCACTCCAAAGTTTTGGAGCCACAGTGGCAAAAGCCCTGTCGCCCCATCGTTTGTGACAGGTAAGTATATGGTGAGCTAAACAAAGACAAAGCAGTCAAGTCATACCAAATAATTGGCAAGCATCAATATAATATATTGCAGTTACTACAAACCTATTTAGGGTAAAACAATTTTGCCTGTGCTCTGACCGGTTTCTAACATCCTCTCACTGTTAAGAGGAACTAATGATACAAACCTGTCTTCACTATCTCTGATTGAGCGGCTAATTATCACAGACAGAACAATGAAAAACATCACACACCCCACAGAGCAAACCCACAGGAAATAACTAAGTTGTCATCTACCTAACCTGATGAGTGAGACTGACAAAAAAATATTAGGCTGCATACAATGATATAACAAGCCCCCCACTGTTAATGTAGAGGAACGGGGCCTAGTGAAAAGGCCAAGAATAACTTTGTATGGTATCTCACCGCAATCAGACTGTCAGAGTACTTGTGAATGGGTGAATAAGACGTGTGAAGTGTAAACACTTCACATAAAAGTACAATAAAAATGGCACAATTTACTAATAACACAGAAATATAACAAATTAGTATAGAAATAGTTTAAATTATTAATCATAAAGTAAGTAAAAAATGCTCCAAAATTATACAGTAGGTCCTGCTGTATTTAAGGCTGCCAAAAAGTCCCTCAAACATCATATCAGTTACTCAGTGCTCCATCTCTACTGTAATCAATGCATGTCAGATGATGATGTCACATATTTAATGAGGCAAACATAACAAGCAGATGGCTGGAAGCATAAAACACTCATGTTGTCAGTGGTGAGTAAGTGAGTGCACATGAATGTGGAATGTGTTTGATTTGCAGCAGAGACTGCCTGAACTCTTCCTAACCCTCTCTCTGTATGGTAATTCCAGTCCAGCAGACAGCACACACTGTCCCCACAGGGGCTATAAAACACAGTGAACTCTGCAAACCCATGACCTTTACCATGAGGATACGAGAACCGTGGAAGGTCCAGGCTTTTACAAGACACAAAGGGGCTTCATTTGAAATCAGAGACGTAAAATAATTCATTTGATAAGAGTTCAAATGTAGAGTTACAGGGCGTTAACATAGTTCTCTGTGACCAAAGGGACATCGTTAGTAACTGTTGAGCCTCACTATGATTGTAAAAGTGAGGTAAAAGTCAAATGCAGTTTAAACCACTTCTTTTGTCTGCGAAGCTGCTCCTGTGCACCTGACAAAATGCTGGCACATCCACAAAGTCTGTTGGTTATGTTCTGTCATGGATATTCACCTCAGGCTGAAACAATGAATATTCTTCTGTAGGTAATTTAATAGCCTACAGATGAGTGTGTTGATTCCTCAGTGGAGCGTTATGAGGACCCACTTGGAGCTAGCCATTATATGACTTATATGCGTGTGAGCTTCATGTTCTATGAATACTGATGCCTCTTTCTCATCTGCTTTCTATCAATATGGAACTGAGGAAAACAACAAGTGGAGAGCTGGGAGTTACAGAAATAAGGTTCAAGTAGTAGTATTTGACCTTACGCATTGGTACAAAGTAAACCTGGTTATAACACACATAATGTGTCATAAAAGGCAAATAAAAGCATCAGTAAACAAGATTTCCTCATAAATCACTCTGGATACCAGGACACTAATGTTATTCACTTGAGGCCGCCGCTATGACATAATGAAATGGCCTGCATAGTTCCAGTATGCAAGTGTGTATTTTGTGCACACATTGATGTGTTTGGTTCACAAGGACAACTGCAAGATTAATTTAATGCTGGTTCTTTTTGCCTAGTCAAGGGCCAGGGCCTGTTTTGGAGTAACAAATGGATAGGGGAAAATGATAAGAAACAGAACAAAATTCGTAAAATGGGTGTACACATATGAGAAAAACAGGCAGACATAAAGGAAAGATAAAGGCTTATATGGAGACACTAAAAGGAAAAAAATGTGATCAAGAAGAAAGAACAGGTAGGAAGATGAGAGAAAAAGAAAATGGAAGCTCATCGGAGAGAGCATGTGAGGAAAGAATGAGAATCTGAGTGAGAGAGTGCTCTGTGAAGACAACAGTGTCACCCACCCCTGCACTGTGGCAGCTTCCTCCCTGGCCAAGGCTGGGTTCATTCACTGTCTCTGTCTGTGTTGAAATCAGCCCACAGAGCGAAACATGTGAATGGTAGTTTGGCCAGGCTGACTGGTGTCTTTGTGAGTGGCAGCCACTTACATTAAGCATGGCCTTAATGTATAAACTGCAGAACACTGTCAGGATCACACACAAAAAAAACATAGCAAACACTCTCACACAATGCACACAAACCTAGAAATACCAACGTCGTCGGTGGGTGTGTAGGTGTGTGTGTGTGTGTGGGGGGGGGGGATATGGTGTTTACAGCAGAGTACTGGAAAGTTTTTGAAACTTTTTGGGGATCATGTAACCATGTAACCAGCTTTGTCCTCTCTTATTATCTGACAGGAACAGAGCTAAATCCTGCCAGTATTTCTCAGAATCAGGAAAACAGGAAAATAAACTGTGAGGGACAGAAAGTGAGTCAGACAAACGAAGGAGATATGGTGCAGTAGAGCAGAGGCAGAGTCAAGAAGTGAACTGATAGGGTGCAGGGATTCCAGGAACATTGTGTTAAAGTTGAGAAAAGAAGTGAAGGTGCTGGGGGTTATAATGACTAACATCGAAGTGTGGGACATATTGACCTTACACACAACTGACAGGTTAATGTGTGTCGGGCTGACACAAGAATTGCGACAGGGACATTCATCAGCTGCAGTGGACTCCATTTACACCCCCCAAAAAATGTCATTCGAGGTTAACCTGTACTTCTAACAATAGAGGTTGCTGTGACTTGTGAATGCTTCTGTGTCAGCCTGCATGTGAATATGTGCTATTGTTTAGTATAAGCTTTTGCATTCATTTGCAGAGTCACAGTGACCTGCTGGGAGTGTAATGCATCTGAGTGATGAAGATCAGTGAGACAGATAAAGAGGAGAAGCAGGGCAGTCCATAATCTTTAAGACTTTCACTTAAAGAAGACACTGAGAGAGAACAAGAATCTGTGATGTGAATAAATCAGCATGCAGAGGTAGAACAAAACCTCAGAGGACAAGTTATGACAGTTGTTGCACTCTTACGCTCTGGCACTGACCTGCTGAGGAAGCCTGGGAACGACAGGCGGACAGGGTAGCCATAACGGATCACGCGCACCATCTCAAGCACCCCGATGTATTGTAGCTGGGTAGACACATGGAAGCTGTCAAAACTGCCTGGCTGACCGCTAGTGTTGGGGCGCACACACTCCACAAAGTGGGGAGTGCAAGCCTGAAGTTTACTGATCACCTCTGACAGTGAGTTCTGAAAAAGAGAAAAGGAGAAAAGAAACATTCGAAAGCAGTCACTGGTAATTTTATAATCATAGCAGAATGACTAACACAATAGATCTGACTAACAACATTTATTAGTGTTTGGGCTGAACAAGTCCTGTGGCTGTTCTTGCAGAATACAGTAAGTACTAGAAAAGGAAGGGCTGTCTGGCTTTTTCTTTTGATGTCGTAACTAGATTTGTGAGCCACAGTGAGTGAGACCACGTTGTGTTTGTGACAAAGTGGTCTGATTTTTAGGGCTGTGTTTCTTCTCTGGAAGAAAAAAAAACACAAAGACCTCTTTGATCTGTTTATGAGTGAGCAAGTGTGAAGGAGCTTTTCTTCAAGCCCTGAATTCATAGAGGCTGCAACTAAGGTCACATAAGCACACATCCACACGCAGTAAACACTTACATCTGTGTTTGTGCCGCTCCTCAAACTGACGTCAGTGCTCTGCATACCCATAAGGTACAGTGCTAAACATCTCACCCGTCATCTTTGAACGTCACTACCAGCATTTACATTTCTGTCTTCCCTCCAAACATGCACAAGCGCAAGCACACACACAAATGTGCGCACACAGCACACAGTGGTTGTTGTTCATTGTTCATTCATTCATGTGGAGGGCTTCATGTTTGGCTTGGTACAGCATCATTTTTCAACCTACTCTCTCCTTCCCCGCCATTCCCCAAAGGACTTGTCAACCACAAGCCCACAACTCTGACTGTGCAACACAGTGGCTTCATTCAGACCAAAGGTACTGCTTCTCTGAGCACATTTCAACTTCTTTGCATCACCAGCAGATGCTGAACTGCTCTCGTCTAACAGAATATTATTGTCATATTATGTAGTTATGAAATCACCGTGCCCTATAAGATAGATCTTGGGGCTGCATTGTTACAAAGGCTTTGTTTTGTGTACGAGTAAGAATAATATCTGATATTATGAGGACGATTGTTAGGATGCATAAACTACAGTGATTGCTTGAGATGAGGACTAAATTCATGCAAAACCTGAAGTTCAATGAACAAATCTCTGCAGTAATTTAAGATATGATCCAGAAGCTTGTAGGTACTTTGTGCAAAACAGTTCACCAGACTATTACAGCACTAACACGTAGACAGACAAACATAGTCAGAATGTAACGAGTAGTACAGCCCGTACTTCCCTTAACTATCCCCAAGCATAGCCTCTGGGGTTGACTCAGATCATCCTGCTTTGTTTTTCCACTGTATTTTCTCTTTATCATTCTCTGTTTAAAGAAGGGAGGGGCTGCTCCCCGCTCACGTATGCAGTCAGCTGTGTGTTTACACATGGTGCTTGTAATGCTAATGTTTGAGGTGTGAAGACATTTAACCAAACACCGGTCAGACCAAACACCCCCCCCCTGATTTTACTGCTACTTCCTGAGGGGTGCTTAAACTGAGCTCCCACAACACACAAGCGATGCGAGTGTAGTGGAAACAAATGCGAAACCTGTGACAAGCATTACTCACTGTGACACATTTCAGTAGGTTACTATAATATAAAAACCCCTTTAGAGTCCAGTCACCTGGTCTACATGTTTTTAGACTGTGGGCTGTGTGTTGCATGAGAGAAAGTGCATGCAGGCAACTTACAGAACATATGAACATAGAAAGAATCCTGTAGTAGGCACATCTGGATCATTTCACTACTACAATACAGAACAAGAATGGTTCTTACCCTCAGCTGGACAGCTGCTGTGATGGGTCCACACCTTTCTAGCCTTTGGAGGAAGGAACTTGAACCTTTCTTCTTCAAGATCTGACAATAAATAGAAATAATAGAGACAAACTACATCCCATTGCTGTGTATCTTCAAGGGCATCTGAAGGATATGGAATGCAAATACAACATAATCATCTCCTATTGCCATCAAAATAGGCGGTGTGGGTTTGAATAGAGATCAAAACATGATACCTTTGTCTTTGATCCCTCTGGACCACTTTGTGAGTCAGTCCCAATTATGGTTTGCCATACCCTTTAAAGTCTGACTTGATCCATGGCATTTATTGTTCTACCCATGATGCAGAGGACACTGTGTTGCCCAGGTCTGTTTAGCTGCACATAGGAGCTGCTTGACATCCTTCTGGATCATGTTCTTCCTGTGTTTACAGTCTGTCTATAATGTTGTCATCCTGATATTGTAAGTCTACTATTTTGCTCTGTGCTGTTGCTGTAGAGCTCTGAGGCAAATTTGTGATTTGTAATCTACATAAATAAAATGGACTTGACTTTACTTATACTGTCTTATTTATAGTCTTGCAGTACAGCAGGGCAGTACCGCAATCTTATCTAATGTACCTATACAAGGCTTCTGGGACAGACTGGAAAGGTGAAAGGGGTCTTATGTAAGCCTTTGCTCTAGATGGCTAATGAGCCACAGAGACAGCAAGCAGGGGCCCCCTGGAAGTTACACAACCAGCAGCAGTGCTCTGCCATGTGCTTCGCAAAAACATTAAAACAGATACAACAGACATAAAGACAAAAAAGTATAAAAAATATTGTTATCAGGTGTGTGATTTGTGTTTTTGTGATTCTAGTCATGAGGAAAGTGTATAATCTCAGTCATTTCCTGACTGTGTGTGCACGTGTATGCATGCATGTGGAGTTTATATCTCTTCATAAGGCCATACAAACAAATCCGATTCCCAGAAGTTTATACATAGCACAGTGGGGAAAAGTACATGTAGCCTAATTTAGACTGTTGTTTTTTCCAAAAATAATGTTTTTCCATTGATCAGTTCAGCAGTTGCCAGTTGGAACAAAATGTTTGTGAATGATTGTGTCACTTTCTGCCTGTTATGTTCCCTCAAGTCATCAGTTTCTATATTTTATTTATCTTGTTTCCTTTGAGCAAATGTCTGTGTCTGCTGAATCTGACTGAATCAACTGGCCAGATCATAAAAACATATGTAATGGTCAGAAGATTCAAGACTTGCAGTTCAGCTATGCATTATGTGTTGCTGGATGTAGCTACAAGTACAGTACAGTGCAACAACGCTGGACTCCGGACACTGAGAACCGTGCACTGTACCTTGGTAAGGTCATGGTACCTCCGGGGCTTTTGGGGGACAAAGCTGGCAGGGACATGGGAGGTTGACTGCATTCTTTGGAGCAACAAGGCGGCTTTAGGCCCCCTTAGCCCTATGCATCCCTGGGCTGCTGGCACCAGAGATCCAGTCTGAGTCAGCTTGGCCTGGAAGAGCTTCTGCAGTAACACACTCTCACTGGCTGCCGGGCACAAAACAAACACAAAGAGAGGCAAGAGAACCAGAGTGAAAAGAAGCAATGGCATTGGTGGAAATAAGGGGGTGGAAGAGAATAAGGAGAGGTGGGATAAACAGATAGAAAGAAAGAAAAGAAGATGTAAACAAGGAAGGAAAGAAGGATCAGAGAAGAAGTGAGAGTGGGAGGACACAAAAAGTTAGGCTCCATGTCAACAATCAGTCAGGCAATAAGAGGGAGGGGACCATGCCACTGGACAACATGTGGAGCAGTCCACAACAACAATGAGCTCATTCAGAAAGCCAAACAACATGTATATGAACGTGGGCATGTGGTTCTTATCTGAAGGCTGAGAGAGAAACAAGGAAAGAAAGAAAGAGAGAAACAAAGGGAAAGGACAATGACAGGTAGGCGTGCTAGTCAAAGAAAAGCAAACATAAACTAAACTAATTTAAGGACACACACATCTCCAAGGGGATTGTCTTTACATTTAAAGCATTCATCACCACCTCCTGATTGTTTATTTACATAGATTCCTCTGCATTTTTAGTTAGTTTAGCTTTAAGGCATAAACTAAAGACTAAGGAGGAAATGACACCCATAAGAAGAAACCACATTGTATGTGTGTCAGTGGATGAAAGGCAGCAAAGCATCAACTAAGTTAGACGGCTGGATAAAAGCCAAGTGTGAGTGAAGGACTGGCTTTTAGAAGATTAGTCTCATCATGGAAATTATGGCAATTAGGCTGCTGGATGCAAGGCTAGCCTGGCAGTGACACAACGATTGCCTGTGTCGTACTAACCACAACACCCCACATCTGGCACCTTCTATAGACAATATACACAGAGATGGTGCTGTCTGCTGCATATGAGATGAAATGCACTCATACAAACATAGCCATACTTAGACACAGAGTGGTTTTGTGTGCTGTTAGTTTAGACACGAGTGCATTTTTATGATCAAGTGTTCTCTGACACCACAATGTGCTCATATGCGTGTTACTGATTGGGTACTTACACTTCATTGTAAACAAGAGATTCTGAGGAAAGGAGTCCTTATTCCTTGTAAGCGATCCTGTCAGGTCATATGAAACCTGGTGGAAAAACAAATTGTACTTGGACATTTATTTAAACACATACACAGTACTTACAATATACTTATACATTTAATACAACATAAAATAATCATTACTATACTATACCAATTTAAATTGGCCTTTATCTTTGTAAAAGCACCAATTAGAGCTCCTTTGGTTATAAGATGTACATTTTTGTTGAAAATCTCTACAACATTTTTTAGTATGAGGGTGACGGCCTGACACAGCAGTGTTTTTCTGAATGTCAAGAATGCACGGACATTCTTCTAATTCTTTGTCTGGTGATGAGTGTGGCATTTCTATCGCAGACAATCACCATACAGTGTTCTAATGAGAAAACATTATTTTGTGAAAGTAACAATAATGTTGTTCTCATTACCTGTTCTTCACTACTTGCTCCGAGCACAAAGAAACCAACAAAGTTCTGTTTAGATCAAGAACTTATATTGTTGCTACTTTCAGCAGATGGAGAGTCATTTCCAAACTGAGGTATTGTTTCTGCTTGATTGGTAAGTTTTATTTATTATAATTCCATAATCTCTAATACCTGAAGGGCTGGTTGGAGCTTAGTGGAGCAGGAAAGGAAGGATGGGTGGAGCAGAATATACTGATTATGAGTCTCATGCTACTGCTAACTTGCTTTCCAGAAATTTTCAAAATGTAGCCTTGAGCAGTGTTGGTAGATTTGATTAATAAATTCCATAAAATGGTCATTGCTATCCTTCTCCTTTAGTGAATCCCATCTAAACCTAGAACAAACAACCAGGCTCTGTCACTTAACATGTTTGTGTTCTATGAGCATGTGCAAATCAAACAGAGAAAGCAGCTTTAAGCAATGTAAATAACCGTAAGCAACAGCCTTATTCAGACAGAGAAAATGACTCAGAAGTTGAAGAAACTGCAGCTGGTGTTGCAGGTGCAGACTTCGTCAGTTATGAAAGTATACTTTAGCTCCAGTAAACATAGCACAGAGGGAAACTGAGCTAAATGTAAACAGTCTGAAAGCAGTTGCAGCTTCAGAAGGAAACACAAGTAATTTGTTCCCATTACCTGAACAGAGCCATGTCATAAAATATGACAAGAGCATGACCAAGAGTTAGGTACACTTGATTACGGCCTGTTTAGGATGCAACACAATAAGTGTTTGCTAAAGCCATCCCCTACCTTAATATGTTCTACAGATGGAACGATACGATTACTGTTTTCATCAAATCAATCTACAATATTATTTTAACTGTTGCAACCTATGAAACTCAATTAGACTCAATTTCTGTTTTAGCAAAAGAATGTCTTGGAGGGAAATGTATAAAACAGATGTTACTTGTCATAATCTAGGAATTATTATCTAGTAATTGTTCTCAACAAAGACTTGGTGGTCATCTGCAATAATTATCATGATTTATTTCAGAATCCTATTCGTCTACATGTATATATAAATGTTTATGTAATATAGACAGACCTGTCCAGCATAGTGGCTGACAGTGAAAGCTGGGCCCTGATCTTTGGGTGGAGGGTTTCCGTTGCCATCCTTGGTAGTGAGAGAGAGGCCATGAACCGGGTTGGAGTCCAGCTGGGCTGATAGCCTCTTGTAAAGGGTCTGCTCCGCTGGCCGCAGGCTCTGGCTCTCCTCATCCAGCACACACAGCAGTCCCTGAGGCTTCTGGAGGAGAGACATAGAAATGCTCATATTGTATCTTATCAGTTGTGTTAAGAAAGTATCCTTGTGACACTTCTTTTGAGTCCCTTTGGAAGTCTAACAGCTTCAGTCATATTCATTTGATTTAGGAGGTTTTTTGTTGTTGTTTTGTTTTGGGGCATTTGGCAGTTATTGATAGAGAAAATAAGGACAGACAGGAAACATTGGGTGAAAGTGCATATATGTGTATGTGTGTGTGGGGGGGTGGGGGGTGGGGGGGGGATGACGGTTTACTGGTAAAACAACACAAAGTAACAAGAGAACATAACAAAGTCCAAGTTTACTTATACAGTCCACATCTTCCAGTTTGTGGTATGCAACTTAACAACTCAGCCACAGCATGTTACAATTTTACTAAAGACCAAAAAAAATGTTATGTATTCATGAAGCTAGCTGTGTGACTTTAAAGTTTATGTCAAAGCTCCAGGTGGGCTAGACTGGACTGGTCCAAACCAGAAAACATGTAGTACCTGAAGAAAAAAGTCTAAAACGGCTGACTGGTTTCCAGGGGAGTGTGGGGTCTCCATGGGAATACCCTCCTGCAGACACTCAGCCTGCTCCTGCTGGAACAGCACCTCAGAGACGTACTGCCTCAGCCGCTCATTGGTCACGTTCACGCATAGCTAAAACGCACAGGACACACAGTTAGACACACAAACAAACCTATAATACATAGTTCTGTGCACATGGTGAAGTTCGTCAGAGATGTGCCGTTGAATGTTTCTAAGGCAAACAAATGACTGAACATGAATACATTCTCAAATATAACCTACTGTGGCACCAACAGGGATGTCAACAGGGTATAAATGAACTGAGAACTCATATAACATGCCTGACCCTGAAACAATGGGACACTTCACACGTGGTGTACATAGGAGTGGACATAACCTCTTTGGGGCCTTTCTGCTATCCTACTGTAATACTGCTGAGAACATGAACTCTTCCTAACCCAGCAGTCAACCAATCACAGCACAGGGACAAGTCAAGTGGGATCGTCTGGTGCGCGCGCACGCGTGTGTGTATGTGTGTGGATGTAGTGAGAAGGAGCAGATAACATGAGGTGAAACGACACAGGAGAGCAGACTGCAGCAGCAGGACTGTGTTAATTTCTCATTAACCCAAATATGTCACAAAATCTTACAGGGCTGTAATGTTGATGCAGTGTAATGTTTAGTCAAGTGTCCTTCTCAATCCAAGACCTGATGCACCTATCCTTTAACTTTATGTTTCATACCAGAGTGGGGCAGTGGTGGCCTAAAGGTTAGAGAAGTGAGCTTGTGACTGGAAGGTCACCAGTTCAGTCTCTGGACTGGCAGCATTAAATATGGGTGGGACAGGTAACAAAGCATCACTTGCTCCACCCCTCAGTAACACCACCCTGGTGCCCTTGAGCAAGGACCTTAACCCCAACTGTGGAGCTGCTCTTGTACTGGGCAGCTTCCAGGTTTGACTGTGAACAGGAAAAAGAATGTGTCCCTGAAAAAGAGAGGTGGCCTCTCAGTGGACCCACTCTGAATAAATACAAGTTTTAAAAGTAGGAAATAAAACCCATGTGATAAAAAAACATGAAGCTTGTAGGTCAGGTGATAATGAGTAACTCAAAAATAAAGTGAAAATTAAAATACTGATTGATAGTCAGTGCTCAAATCAAGCCCTCAAGCCCACTGAAAAACCTGAATGCTCATATGCCGGAAGTGTAGAAATCATAAACAAACACTGTTGAGTTTTTCTCTCTGGGAACTTATTTGATTGTGTCAGAACAACGAGACATTTTTTTAGTTTGCTTGATTGAGAAGTGCCGATCTCGAGGTGTGTTGGTCTCGGGTGCAGACAGCTCTAATCCTGTTTTCCTTTTATTACTGTGTCTATTCCTTGTCTTCGAGCTAGCCTAGTCCATTAAAGGCTTAGCCTCAGCAGGTGGCTGATTGAGTTAGCTCATTAGCAAAGTGCTGAGCAGGTACAACACACCCCTGACAAACACAGCTCTAATTAACAAGCAGTAATGCCCCCGATCAAACCACTCATGTGGAGCACGCCTGTGTGGGTTTACCTGAATGTGCGTATATACATGTGTGCACAAACATGTCAGAGTGTGAGGGCTTGTTTGTCACTGATGTGTCACATCTACTATAAGAAATCATCCAAATCTTGCTCCTTATCTTCTCTCTTCAGGTGGTAGTAGGTAGTGTGAGTATTCTGAACAACAATACAGAAAATGTATGAAGGAAAGAGGCAGGTACTGCCACCATGTGCCAGAGACAGTTTCTCTTTTTTGCTACTGTTCATTTGGTTAGCTCTCTCCCCTCTCTACTAGTATTTGCTCTCTCTGTCACCAGAAAATGAAACATAAAGCAACCCCTGATTTTCACTTGGATTCGAGAATGTCTAGAGGAGGGGTAAGGCCACTGACATTTTACCACCAAATGCCAAAGTCGCATACAGTACATGAAAAACAAAGAAACACATGCTGGCCTCAATATAATGAGGAGAGATGGCTGGTAGCCCCAAAGGAACATTAACTGTGAGTAGCAGCTACTAGCACTTTGCCTCTTGAGCACTATGGCTGACTGGTGGCAGGAAACTGTCCATGTGTCTGTCCATCAGGAATAAAGTATCAGAAAGTTACTTTTTTTGTGCTTTGCCACAAATTAAGTTCTAGTATTTCTTCTCAGTGTCCTAGCTAAGCTACTTGTGTTTCATATACTGTAATACTGGATTCTATACGTATTGGGACTTTATAAAATAAGTTTCTATTCATATGAGCATTTCTCAAATACCTGCAAATCCTGAGGCTCTCATTTGTTTGCAAAGACAATCCCAGAGCTTATCTGAGCATAGTATATCCTTAGCATATCCCTGCTGAAGAATGACTCCCATCACGTACATGAGACTCTGATAGTACTGGGCAGCTCCGTCAGTGACAGACTGCTTTACCCCAAGTGCATGCTGGGGTATGACATACTACTACTACTATTACAATGAATGTCTGAAATCTAGAAAAAAATTAAACACTGTCCCACCTGTTCAAATCCATTCCTCTGAAAATCTTCAAACCCAAAGATGTCCAAGATCCCAATTTCCAAGGCAGGATCACTGCAAGAAATAAGCAGCCACTTTTATTTCAATATTTAAGTGTCATATTGTGTATCATGAGTAGCTTGGTTTACAAATGTATTATATTCTGTGGTTGGTGTATAAACAAGGCATGGCACAAACACATTTCAGAATATGTAGTCCAGGATATCTGAGTGTGATAAGACTTCACCACATTAACAACACCAAGGATCCCTTGGCTTCCCACTGGGAGTGTGTGTGTATTTAGGGTTTTGTGTGTTTGAGACCTTCACATGAACCTTGGGTGTGTCCTCCATCTCTACCTACGTAGGTGTTCAGCATTTTCCCTTGTAGTGTACATGCCTATTTGTACATGTCATGCAGTGTAAGAGTGTGGGGAGATCAGACAGTACTGAAAAACCTGCATTCTAAACTATGCATGCTACAATATCAGTCTTTGTCACTCCAGAGGCCCTGAATGAGCGACCGCTCTTGTGTGATGACAGATATCCTGTGGTGTTTGTGATAACAGTTATCAACAGTCAAGGCTTCCAAAGAAATGTTTCCGACTGTTTACAGTGAAAACACCCCTTGGCACATGCACATGAATACACACCCCCCACACACAGAGTACTATACCCAATGCTGTCATCTTGTCCCTGCAGGTACTCGTTGATACTGTTCACCAGATAGTTGAAGAGGCGTCCATAGATGGCCTTCGCAAGCTGGTCTCTGTATTGCTCTGACATTTCTACTGTATGCCGCCGAGTGATCACATCCCCTGACACAAAAAGGATATGTAACCACGTTATAATACAAATTGTGGCCCTTGACAATTCAGTTGATGGTACAGTTTACTTTTACGGGGTTTTTTTTACTGAAAAATATTCATGTTTCATTAAAAAGAAACCTTGATTTATATATATATTTTTGTAACTTCATCAGTGTTGAGATCCCCTCTACATGTCATTGCAGTTAAGTGATTACAAAGACTGATGAGTTGGTACCTTTGAAATACTGAATGTCTGAGGTGAGGGCAGTGCTTAAATCACTGGAGGAAACCTGCAACATTCCAGCAACTGTGGTGAGGAAACCAGAGAGAGAGAGAGAGTGACAGAGGCAGGGTAAATAACAGTGACATGATGACAGGATGAAAACATCAAAACAACACAACTGATCGGTGGAGCTGGCAGCAATTAGTCATCAGCAGATTTCTGAGCAGAGACTGCATAAACAAGAAACAAAAACAGGTCGCTTTGCTGACATCACTAGCCATGACATGACAGCCTCTTTCCCATTTAAGCACTGATGTCATCTGTTTGTCATCTCACAAAGGTCAGGGGTCACAGGACCACATTTAGAAGTGGCATAATATGAGAGAGCAAGATGGAGAAAGAAAATACTGATTCCAACAGTGGGAAAGTCTGTATGTAACAGTGCTCCATGATTACAATTTGGCAGAAAATGTGCCTTACTAAAAAGGTAACTGTCTGGCTGTTAGCTAATGCAGGCAAGCTGCCAAGCAGAAGACGGGAGAAAGAAAGGGAGGAGCTGTGATGATCAGGTAAACAAGATGAGCCACCCATCTCCCCACCCCAGTGAGGCCTGAGTTGTGACAGGGAGACTGACCTTTGTCCAGCAGCTGCAAGTCAGAAGGAAAGGCTGTATCGGCATCTGTCAATGCAGTAAAACGCAGGTCCCCAATATGGAGCACAGCAGATAGCAGTGTAAACACTGAGTCAACCTCCTGGCAGAGAGAGAGGAAAGTTTGTGAGAGAGAGGAGAATATGGGGAGTTAGAGGTGGCTGAGAGTGTGGGGAGGTCAGACAGTACTGGCAGACTGACATACAAAACTTCTGGAAAATAAATCATATACAGTATACAGTAGAATGCCCAGCTGTATCCTTCAGTTTATCGCAAAATGAAAACAATTATCCACTGATCTGAGCGACCAGAGGCTGGTCCCCACAAGAAAATTGCTGGATTTAGGGTGGTAACACATTTTAAGGTTAGGGGGAGGTTAACTATTAGGGAGAAGGGTCAGGGTTAAGCAAGTAGTGGTTATGGTTAAGGTTAGGATAAGTCTACAGGAAATGAATGTAAGTCAACGCAATGTCCCCACAATGAATGAAAACACAGAGTGTGTGGGTTTGAGTGTGTATACTTATTTTATTACATTATAGGGATCAATTTTTGTGTGTTTGTGTGTGTGCGTGCAATTATTTTGAGGTCATGTTGGTATCGTGAAGACATTTTATCCCCACAACTTCACATGGTTTTTTGAGGGTAAAGACCCGGGTTAATGGCTAAGGTTAGAATTAGGTTTAAATTAGGGTTAGGCATTTAATTGTGATGGTCAACATTAAGGTAAGGGGCTAGGAAATGCATTATGTCAATGGGTGCCCTCACAACTATAGTAAAACACAACAGTGTGTTTGTGTGTCAGTACTGGATCTGAGACATAAACAAGAGCATTAGTCTCCGTCTGATGCTTAGCGAGGAGAAAAATGGGACAGAAGAGGAGCAACAGGGAACATTAGTGACGCCTGACCTTTGGGTCTGGACTTGGAGTCATCCCCTGACAGGAGCTTAGACAGAGACCAATAGGTGGTCTGTTGCTTCCACTCCTCCTGCCCTTTGGTCTCTCTCTCTCTTATCCACTGCCCTCTGATAATACTGCTATCTACTGCCCTAGTCCTCTGTCCCATACGCCTTGCCTATGTGTATTGAGTGCTGCTGGATTAAAAGGTGAGATGGTGGACGCGCCCTGCTGGCAGATGCTGACTGAAAATCTAAGAATAGAACCTGATAATGGGCTGGGAACACAGCTGGTTACAGGATGTCTGTATCATGTCCCACTACAGTTTACACAAATCAGCATGCTTTCTTCTGCATTCCTTCACACATTTCATATGGTCTTTAAACATATTATTGAAACCTATGCTGCATCTCAAATCAGGACCTGGATCCAAAGAAATCAATATATCTGTACCCAATACACAAATAATGCCTGTCTCATTTAAAGTTGTTTCTTGTGCCTGAACTGGGAGGACACACCATGCCCTTTGTGGCCCTCAGCATCCCACAATCCATTGTGCAGTTTTTCAGTTACTGAATGGAGCATTGGAAAAATTGATCAACTTGTGAAGCTGTGAAATCATTTGTGACCATGCTGTAATGTATTGGGTATTACAGGGATAATGATCTGGTTATAAAATTCTACATATTTGACTTTACAAACTGACCAAAAGTTTTGCTCACTCTGAGGCTAAAATGTGGTCAAGTGAGAGGCTCAGCCTGTAGCTCTTAGGCCCATTGAAGGACCCATTTCTGTGGAGCACATTCTTTGGAGGATCCCAGCCTCTGACACAGAGCCTCCAGCAAATATCTGAGGTAAGATCTCATCAGTGACCACATAAGTGGCTATCCCAAGGTCATCAACGCATTTAATTAATCCTGCTCTAACCTTTGAATAAACAGGTTCAATAGATTCTGTATGCTGTACCAATCAATACCTGTTTATTGAAGCCGAGGGCTCGCAGGGCTTGCTTGACTGCTACCAGGCATTCCCTGCTCTGTGTAGAGGCTGTAGGTACTGGAAGATTCTCTCCTGGAAATCCTCCACTAAGATACCTGAGGTAGAGTCCAACAGATCAGGTCAACCTTGACGGATACTTAAGACAACAATAAAAACAAAATAAACATACAGCAGGGACAAGGCAATATGTAAAACAACAGGTGTACCGGCTCCAAATATAATGTACCCATTTATCTGTGGATGGCAGAAAGCTAAATCTAAAAGGTTTATGAGATAGTTTTGTACAGAATTTCAGGCAGTCCCAGTCACACTGTGGACAGAGCTGTTTGGGAGAGAGGAGAAAGGGCAAACAGGGCTGTACATCTGCAGAAGTGGAACACACTACTCCCCAGCAAAGACACATAGACACAATGGGACACCAGAGGGGCTAGCAAGACTCTCAGGCTGCAAAACAGAGGGATTCATAACAGTGGTTATCAAACCTGAGGTGTACAGTGGCTTCTTAGTACAATAACTCATAGTCACACTGTCACTCTAAAACACAAATGAACAGGGATGTGCAACACAAGCACAACAAAAACAATCTAATAAAAATAAATAGTACACATTCATACAAACACACAGTTCAGACAAACAGTGTACATACACAGGCTGTCAGATTTTGAAATGTGACAAAAAATATTCTTTTATGTATGCATGTGCAGGCAAACTTGCTGAGGATATCAAATATAAATGCATTACATTATCAGTGTTGGACTAAACTGTATATTGTGAGAGCTGCAGCATTTTAGCAGCATATATTTTGAGTTATTAACATATTTAAATCTGCCTAAACGTGAAGCATCACTAAACTGAGGGGCTCTTGTTGGACCTTATCACCAGCTCTAATCATCAGTCTCCTTTCACCAGTGATTTTATGCACTTGATAGCCACGTACCTATGAGCCAGAACGTTGTTGAGATAAAGTGCACTCTTCTCCTCAGGCATCAGGCCTTCAGCCATCAGATAGAAGATGCTGAAGCTGTGTTGGTGAGGAGGCAGGTGGACCAGACGAGACTTCTCCAGCATGTAGGTGTGGACACGAGCTTAAAGGTAAAGTGTGATAACAATAACAGGACTGTTTAAATATAATCTCAATGATGCTGATTATAGTTGACAGGACTGAGAATTCAATAACTGGCTTTCTATTCCAATTAGCTGGGATAAAATACTAAGATAAAAGAATAGGATGGGGTTATATTGCCCCCTGCTGGTGCTTCACAACAGTGCACCTGGCCTTACAGAAAACATTACTGTGCAGGAGACACAGTACCTCATGAAACCTGTATTATTATAAACATAGTGATCTAGGCTGTAAATACAATTACAACTATCTCAGTTATCTTGGCAATAAATACTCTATTTGTTTAAATAATTAAGATTTAAATGAAATAAAAAGAATCAACATTTTATTTTTGGCAAAAAAAAAAAAACAAAGTTTTGACACTTTATAAGCTTTTCAGCCTAACACTGCCTCTCATGCAAACTAAAAAATAAAACTATGATGATGAAAGTAAAGAATTACTGAGAAACAACTAGTTCACATCCAGTGCTGTAGTGGCAGAACTGTTGGTTACCTCGGAGCAGCATCCTCCTCTTATCACAGTATTGGATGGTCAACAGCTTCATAAAACGGCTTGAGTTGTTGTTCCTCTGGGTCTTTGCATGACCAAAGGCTTCCAGAATACAGTTCACCTGTATATTTCATCAAACCAAAGGAAAGACTGTCACTGCTTTACAATAACCCACTATAAAGTAAATATGCCATTACTTCCCATTATAATGAAACCAACTTCCAAATAGAGTACCATCTCTTTTACCATTAATAGATGTGAAATTCCACTTTATACCACTAGATGTCACAAATTTACATCATTTTTTTTTATTAAATATTTTTGTGCCCTAGGATGATTAGAGACTGAATATATAATGATGACTTTATCAAAACACAACACTTATACTCCCAGGCTACACAGCATTTAGTTACCCAACTGACAGCCTGAGTGCAGAGCAGGTGAATACTGTATTTTGTATAAACAATGTGTGCTCTTCAATGCCTCAGACGGCACTGCATCAAGAATCATCCTTGTCCTATAAGAGATATAACCACCTGGGCTCAGGATTACTGTGGCACACCTGTGTCAGGCACTACAACACATAGTTACAACCATAAATGCCTGCCTGCAGTCCCGACCTGTCCCCAATAGAGAATGTGTGGCACTGAAATGCAAATTGTGTCAATGAAGACCCAGGACTGTTGTGCATCTTAAGGCTTGTTTGCAGGAAGAATGGGACAAAATTACACCTGACACATTTAATCACTTGGTGTCCTCAGTCCCTAAACATCTTTTAAGTGTAGTGAAAAGGAACAGCAACATCACACCTTGTAACTTCCCACCAGGAGCATGGTAGCCTCAAGAGAAATCTAGGTGCAGTCTTGCAAATAGTGATCCTGCAAGCAGAAGATCATCTTGCAGACTCACAGGTCCGTACTTACATGTTTCATTCTGGATTCCAGCGCAAAGCCTTTGGGGCTGGAGCGGGCTGTCAGATGTCTCACTATGTGCTTGCATGCCTCAGTTTTCCCAGAACCACTTTCACCACTAGGGAGATTCAAAAAGAGACAGAAAGACACATACTTTTACTATTGTTTCATGTTATAATGTTGCAGTGTTTTATACTGCTGAGATGTAGTCACACATTTTCCACTAGGATGAAACACAACAGATAGAATAAACAAATGAATAGACAGAATAATACAATGAAACATTAGCTAATATAGCCCAGTACAGTGCAGTAACAGTACAAAAAACAAGCATTTTTGTGTGCTACACTCTCTGTTGGTGTCTCAGGCAAAAAGGTGTGAGTTGTTGATCATCAGTCTCCTACATACTGTATATCACCTCCAGTCATATGTCTTCAATGATCTGACATCAACACCTCAGAGACTACTTCTAATTAAATTCACAATCTATTCAATTTTTCTAAAACCGCGACTGTTGCTCTACTGTCCGCCACTTTCCACATGCTGTTAATGCCTCAACTTATCAGCCAGTGGAGACCAGTTTTAATTTGACACCGAGTAGATATTAAATCTGACATAAGGTACCTCTACAGTACATGCTCTGACACTCACCGACATGCAGAGAGCTGAGACCAGCATAGTAGCACCAAGCAGATGGCTTCATAAGTTTAGGAACCCTTACTAATGACTGCAGCGTACTGTGGTTTGTGGTTTGTTAGTGTGCATATGTGTGGCTCTGTTTCCTACTAACGGTCCTGCTGAGTGTGAAGTCCAAAGGCCTTTCTACTGTCTTTTCATTTACCGGTTTTTATTAAATTTCAAGGGCATTTTGTTAAAGCACTAGCCTCAGGGGATCATGGCCACTGATTGCCCTACATGTGTAGGAGTGGGTGAGTGTGTGTACTTTAGTGTATGTGTGAGGCGACACAAAGTGAAATGGAACGCTTGACTGAAAAAGAAGCAACAGAATGAGAAAATGCACAAGGCAAATGCACAGTACAATGTCCCTGTGCCTGGTATTACTAACACTGTGGGGACCAAAACCTGTTTACACTGCCACTCACACCAGATGCTGGTCTCCACCACATAAATCACAGAATGTTAGGGTGAGAACTCGGTATGGTTAAGTTTAGGCAAGTAGTGGTTATGGTTGAGGTCTACACCTAAAAGTCCCCACAAGGAATGAAAACAAATGTGTGTGTGAGATAGATGGAGAGCCTATGGCCAGGACTCATTAACTCTCTGCCCAATTGGTTACAACACAGTGGGGATGTCACCAGAGAGCTGGAACAAGATTTAATTGCATTCAGGGGGCTGCCTCTATCCATCCGAGGACAAAGAGCAAGATGCTGTACCGCTCCGAAAAAACACTGGACAGGTCTACAGCTCGGCTCTGGCTGAGAGCTATTAATCTTTCTGGGGGTGTTTAACAGGTGTGTGGCAAAGGGGTATGGACAAACCAGGTGGCCAGCTGAACTTCACTATTAGTCAGGTAATTATTTAGCTCTGTTGGCATTTTTGTCTCTAGGCACTGGGTTCATATTTGTGTGTTCAAGGAAGTGGGATGTACCTTAAAATGAAACACTGCGGGTGTCTCTCATGCAGCATCATGTGATAAGCTCTCTCTGCTGAGGAGAAGATGTGAGGGGGCAGAGAGGAGCACAGACGACCTGTGGAGCTCAGGTACAACTGACTCACCTGAAAGAGAGAGAGAATGGTAGACACAGTTCATCAGGACAGTGTACAACACTCTCACGTAACATCGATACACATGTGGGCAGAGCAACACAGAGGATAAAGTTTCAGCAAGACAGTGAAACAATGCTGAGTATAACTTTCCATACCCGTATGTCCAGTTAACTAACAAGGTGTTGTTTACCACTCATTATAGCCATGTAATTTAAGATGTGTCTTTGTTCTTAAGTAAAAACTATTTAAACTCATTTTAAACAATTAAACTAAAAGTGACCCAGACACTTTAGCACCCTTACTTTAAAACAGTGAAGCCAGCTTAATTAAAAGAGCAAAAGTAATTGCCTCCATATTTTTAGAGCTGTAACAATAATGTTATATGTAACAAAACATCATTCCTTGGGTTAGTTTAGAGATCCACTTCTAAAAATACTATTTTATTTTTAAATGACCAAGTATTTTAAAAAGTTGTGTTTAATAATGTAATAATTTAGGAATTAATAAGTTACAGTTCAAAAAGCATTAAAAACAACCACACAACCCGCTTTGCTGTCACACTCCTATCTGCAAGTACACCAACAGATGTCCTGTATCTGGAGGCAGGGCTGTGAACCATCAAACCGGAGCCGGTGACAGACAGACAGCAGATCACACACATTGTAAGTTATGTCCTTCTCACACTGGCTCCTTCCTACTCCTCCACAGACCCTCTCAGTTTGGTTTAGATTCCTAGAATGAATCCAAACAAGGGGTAGGAATGGAGCACCCAGAGGGTGGTTTGGCTTCATTCTGTCACGGCAGCAGAAGATGGGTACATCTCATGTCTCTTCTAAGACTGTTCTTATGTCCTCAGTCAAACTGAAGGTTGTTCTGGTTAACTGGTGATGTAGGTCATTCCATGTCTCTTATACCGGCTCTGAGGACTGAAGAGCAAGGACAGTGCTGGAGGAGCTATGACTGAGGAGACGTGAGACCAACCTTTACAGACATTTTTTGTGAACTGATCAGAAATCAGTTGGTGACTGAACACTTCAGATGAAGGATCTGAGGAATGGACGTCTCATGGTGTTCCTAACATGTTTCCTCAAGTCCATACTCCTCACGTTTTCCATGCTTTCCTTTCATCTTACGTGGGCAGGACTAAGACACAAGAAAACGACTCAAGTGAGGGAAACTAACTATTTTACTTTATAAGAGACATGAGATGTACCCGATATCTCCTCCAACAATCAACACCTCATGGGTCCATATGGGCAAACTCATACAGCTGTCATTAACATGTATTGGGCACGCTTCTGAAAAGCTTCATTCCAAAATGTTACTCACCATTTAAAATAAAAGCATAAACACTGTTGCTGATTGATATCTCAACATTAGTACAAATTATTACAATATTTAATAATTAAAAAAACATGTAATGATATGTTCCTCCAAGCATTGGAAGCATAAAAATACAGTTTTTTTTTAATGAGACTGATGTACAACAAAGTGGAAAGTAGCCTAATAATGTCTGTGTGGGTTTGAGAAAACCTGTATATGTGTGTGAGAGAGAGAGTGAGAGCAAGAAAAGTGAGAGAGTATGTGTGTGTTGAGCTCAGCTGAATCCCTCTCCTTCCTGGCTGATGCAGTGTTGGTCTTGTGCTGTGTATCACTGACAGGAAGACTGCATTATTTATCAAACACAAGGTCCATTTCATCTGCTTATGCCCTGCGAATTATACAGCAACCATGCCTTCTTTATAATTTTTGCAGAACAATACAAAGCCTACCAAATGTAAGGCATGTATTTAAGGTTTGGGACTGCAAATTCAGCATTTAAAGAGATAAGAGCAGCATATCTTGTAAGCCTATGTGAAACAGAGATCATTTAAATTCATACTTACCAGAGAGGAATAGATTGGAAGTTCTTTGTTTGGATTGACCAGCAGAACAATGTGCCCAATGTAAGTCTACAGAAGAGCAGAAAAGCACACACCAGTCATCTTCAACTCAGCAACTATTAAAACTAGAAGTTAATCCTAAATAATAAAACATTTATCTTTTGGGTGTGAGGTAGCACTAATTGTGCTTCAGTGGACTGACTGCGTAAAGATAACACTGACCAGAAAACATCATTATTAAGGTGGTAACAATCTCTATTAAGATTACCATCGGAATATGTTAGTCTCATAGCTGAGAAAGGCCAGGAAGTGATGATGTCAGTAATGACCTTTCTCCAGAAAAAGGTCAACCCTCCCATATAACATATACACAAACCCCAAGGCCATTTAGATAAAAAAAAAAAACACCACCCAATTTCAGACCCTTTCCAATAAACTGCTACCACTCTGTCAGAGTCCTGGAGCCTGTTTGACACCAGACTTCATCCCTCCCCAGTTCCTCACTGCTCTCCTCAGGGGTTTCTGTGATGCACTGGTCCTTCTATCCTGGCAGAAGGCAGCACATCACTTATCAAAACCCCATCTCTGACCATCCTGCTGGGAGCATATGGAGCGGTCATTGCCTTTGTCTTCCCTCTGTTTCAGTTCTTCACTACATCGCTGCTTTGTTCACCTATGTCTTAAAATACTGTATCTACTTAAGATCGAGCACACTAGGTACAGAATCAAGAACAATAAGAAGTAGAATGGTGGAAATGCAGAAAAATGATTTATCTGTTAACATTAAAAGTGTAAGCTCTGTTGTCAGTCAATACCCATGATAGCTGCACTTTGTTAACTCACTTTGCTGTCTTTTCACCGCTTTCTCTTCTTCCAAATGGACTGTACCTCAGTATCTAGCCCTCATTATTCTGAATTCTAATCGCTTCTCTTTTCCTCATCCACCACTCTATTTCCTTTTGTCATTCCCTTATCTGGGTCCCCTGCTGTGGCTAACCTCACTGTCTGTTGCCCATCTGGGTTTCCATAATAACAGACTATTACTGCCTCCTCACAAAGAAGAGAGTGCACCCGAAAGCTCCAGATTGATCTGATTCCAGTCTTTATAGAGCTCATTGCCAATGGAGAAGTGTGGGCCAGACTACAGTTTTAAAGAGAAGGAGAAAATGACAGGAATATAAAAGTGACCAATTGTTGGAGATGATGGCATTTTACTCCTAGTTATGGATTTAAGTTTCTGATCAATCTACAGTAAATGATATTGTTCTTGCAATTTTCACCAGCATGAGCGCATGTCTGTGTCTGTGTGTATTCACATTAGAATGCGGTAGCACTCTCAAGTCAACAGGCTGGAACAGAGAGAACAATGGATTCAACTTATTAACACAACCTGGTGAACAGACTAAAGATTTAACTGTGTTCATTAAAAAACTATTCACCACCACTGGCTGTAGCAGCAGTCATGGCTCACAAATATAAATATTAGGCGTTAGGCGCTAGGTTTTAGAGATTGAGGAGGGACCACGTGTGTGATACACTGTTTGAGATGAGTATATAAATCACAGCAGATCCCATGGGCATAAAGTAGGTGATCCAGGTATCACAACCTTGAAATTCCCAAACCATAAACACAACGCTCCACTGAAAACAAACAACCAGCGTGGCCCAGTTACTACAAGGAGATTGAATTTCTGTGTTCACTGTGTTCTAATGCATTTTTAATGTTGAGTGGGATTCCTTATTTGGTGGCACAAGAACAGCTGGTTCTTACATAGATTTGGTCATTGCCAAAGCGCTTCTGCATCTCATAGAGCAGGCTGCTGTCGGTCAGCTCGCTGAGGGAAGCCAGGTCGTCATTGGGTGCTGGAGGCATCAGCTTGACCTGAACAAAATATAGCCATGAGATATCATGAACATTCTGCAGCTCAAAGCAGGGAGTATTTTACATAATAAATGTTGGGATAGTGGTATCTATGTAGTTATAGTCCACTGAACAGTTTCCATGCTTCCATTTTATAAGCCAGGTTTCCTGCCTCTCTGTGAGCTAAGAAACTGCTATGAAACACCTTTAGATCCAGTTAAGTACTGCATAGAACCCAGTTTGTTTTCCTAAACCCTAAAAAGTAGACAGAAGCTGGATCTTCTCTTTGAAATAAAAACAACAAATGGAACGTGTGAAATCTGTGTTTTAGCATGAGACTCATCTGGACACTTATCTATGTTCTTACTACATTACTGTAAGAAGACAAGGTACCTGCTCAAGTTTACTGGCTCCGGAGTTAAATGGACCATCTAGGCCATTGTCCTGCGATGGCTGTCGGCTTAGTGAACCAAATGCATCTGTAAACATGGCACACTTCTCCAGCAGACTGTCCCGTTTAGCAATAGTGAGACCTAGGGGATGCCTGGTGGATAGGCAAAGAGTTGGGAAAGTCTTAATAGATAAAGCAATAGGATTTGGGGAAAAGAAGAGAATGTGGAGGAGTAGATACAAAGAAGGAAAACAAAAAATGTTACTTATGAAACTTTTGACGTACAAGTTTTTCACAGGAGTGTTGATGTCGTGAGAGCCTCCATCATAGTGTTGGTCAGTGGCGGGCAGAGGAGCGGAGGGGTCCTTCAGCCTCTGCAGCCAGCTCTCCTCTGCATTCAGAAGCATATCAGCTATGGGCTGTGATGCTGCAATGTCTGGTGACCGTACACACAAGACAGGCTAATCAGTATACCAGGGAGGGGAACGGCTTCATCCTGTCTTTTTGTTTTTGTGTGACTGACAACCCCTCAGACTCCCATGTCTTCCTCTGTCTTCCTTTCAGCATGTCTGCAGAAGGAGGTGTGTGGGGCTCCGAGTGAAGGGAGGAGGGGGTTGTCCTAGTATTTAATGGGCTTGTCTCAAATCTTTTCTAAGACAAAAGTAATGTCAGTGCACATATTCAGCTACAGACACGGATAAAGCATTTATTTATATATAAATGAAAAGGCTCAGCTGAATAAGACAAAAATCCATTTCATTATTTCTTCGCTTCATTACCTCTTGCCTTCCATAACACACTTTCCGAGTCTAACTGTGATTTTAATGTGTGTACAGTGTGCACACGTGAATATTTGTGTGAATGCCTAATGTGTTACCGGTCGGTTTTGCCCTGTGCCTCAGGAGCTGGCTAACGATGCTTGTCTGTAAGAGATGGCAGAAACACTCTACATTTACTTTTATTAGATTCTACAAACGTTCAACAATTTTCTAGGGCACTATTAAGTGTGCTTCTCTCAAACCATAAATACAATTACAAAAAAGCATTTCGTAGCAGATCCTCCTGGTTGGAAACACAGTCGTTATTTAATTTAATGCTACATTGCAGCTGTAGACATGCATATGTAAGATATACTGTGATGCAGACTTAGAATCGAAACGCTACGGTGTATGTCACACATGACAGGCCTGTACAAGAACTGCTCCAGACTGAGGAGATACTTTAATAATGAGCCCATCACATGTCACAATGGAACAACCCTATAGTTGTCTACCCACAGAGCCATGTGACAGCTGACACCTTTGTCCTCTATTGTCCTGTCTAGGCTTTAAACTCTGCTTGCACAGGCTGAATTCTGACTTGTTCTCCTTTACCCCTCATTACTCCTTCATTTTCTTCACCACACCTCGGTGCCTCGGTAGAGTAACAGCTATATCAAATCCACTAAGTGAGAAGCTCTATGTGAGGTGTGAGTACTGATTTGTGACCAGTGTATGGGATTGATTCCATTTATTAATAATAGACAGTGATCTTCCTCATTATTTCTTTGTAATGTAGGAAAGATGACTTTACTCAGAAACTTAAATATAAAGGCTGCATTACAAAATATAATATAAAATGACAGTGATTGATAATTAAACACAAGGACCCATGCAACTGGAGCTAATACTATGAAAACATTCTAGGAAAATAATCACAAACATCCCCTCTTAATGCTCAGTTTTCAAACTATTACATTTAGCTTCAATGCATTAGGAACTGAGCTTTATACTGTCAATCCCTCACTACCATGGGACATAATTTCTTCTGATTGTCTGGCAGATTTCTACTTAATATAACTACTTAATAGTTATTGTAGTTACTGCTGCATGCAGCACATTAAGCAGCAACTAACTATATGATTATGCTTGAACAACATGACAGGCTGGTAAAACCAACTATAGCACAAACTAAAATTGCAAACAAAACCTAAAAGTAAACAAAAATCATTTCCATTACTGATTCTTAATAGCTGATGGCACCAAAAAGGCTACCCAGACACTTCAGTAAAAGCAAATGTACATTAAAAAACAATAAAGTTTGCACCAATTAGAATTATTTTATTGAACATGGGGAGTACTCCTCAGAATACGAAAATAGCTATAACACCCTCTGTGGCTCTGGAGGAGCTTTTCAAAGCCTTAATCAAGTTAATTAAAACCTGCATAACATTATGGGAATTGTAGGATCCAGGGGCTACGGGTCTAGAAGTCTGTCTTGGCTTCAGCTGTATTCAGTTCAGCTTTTCCCCCAGCTTAGTGTTAAATATACCAACACACTTCTCTGTAAGTCACAGTTCAAAATGCTCTGAAAGTAGTGGAGCTTGTTTGTACTATAGTAGAGAATAAAGACACCATCCGCAGCATAAAGGAGAGTGACTTAACACATTCAATTGGCTGGCTGTAACCCATGCCAACAGCTGTTCACGTATGAGTCTACAGCTTCTCTACTGCCCACAAACCCTGTCAGCTGCAATCACACCCTATAAATACTGACAACACGTCAGCAGGCTCCACAAAATCTGAACTCCTCAGTGGGTCAAAGTTTAGAGGAGGGCTAGGAAAAGGCCACAATACATGGGGATCAGCAGGGGCAAAGTAAACCCATAGATGATAAGGTATCAGATTAACATTAAGTGCTTTGAATTGTTTGTACTTTTGGTTCCTCTGTTGCCACAGGTTTCATCTGTACCTATTAGAAGAAAGAATTAATCCATTCCCTGCATTCTTGAAATTTAAAACCCTGTCATTTTTGTTTCAAAAACCCAACAACAGGCTATTTAAAAAAATTCTACCCACATGAGAGCACAACTTTAAAAGCACTGACTCAAACAAGGGGAGCCAAGAGCCAGGGTCTCACATCATAAGAGAGTGAAGCTTAATTAGTTGCAGTAATGGGGTCAAATCTCTTCTTAAAGGGTCTTTGTAGTATGTACTGTATGCTGCACTGCAGAAGGGGTCTCCGAGTTTAACATACCAACTAAAGTTACAGTTTCCAGCCAGTGTTTCCAGGCAACAGTTTGCTTCTGATTCATATCATCTGTTAGTGAGAACAGTAATTTACTTGGCTGGCTATATGTGCACATCTTGCTCCCTTAATGTGTTACCACCCTGTGTTAACTGACATGTCACTGTCAGACTAGCTACAGTAGAAGGAAATGGTGACAGGAAGGGAGTGCTAAGAAGGCTGAGGGAGTAGTTGGCATGCAGGAGGCAAAGCAGCAGCACCAGTAAAGAGCTGATTGCTGAGGTGATATAGCACTGCAAGGGAAACCTAATCGATTCTCCAAACTGTTAGTCTGCCACTCTAAAGTCAGATGCACTTACATGTTACTCACACACATACACACACAGAGTAACTGAAAATGCGGAAAGCCAGAAAAATAGGGCAACACAAGGAGGTTATTATTCCATTCAGGACATTGCTGTTTTGAGGACTTGGACATTTAGTTCTGCTGATAAACTATGATTTGATCAACTAACAACAGGATGAAAGAATTGTATAAAAGAAAAGAAATAAAACAAAGGCAGCAGATCGGTCTGAATGAAACAAAAAAAGGCTGTAACGGAGAGGAACAAAAAAATTTAAAACACAATCTATTGGGGAAAAACAATGCTTGAAACTAGATGGAACTGAAGAAGCAGAATGACTCTAAATACCAAATGAATAAATTCTTTATCAGCAGCCAAGCACACAGCTGAGAAATATGATTAAATCCTGTTGGGTCAGCAAGATCGGTATGTAACCATTTCCTTTCCTTCATATTTGGACCACTCCCAAACCATCACATCCCATCGCACCGAACAGCTCACCCCCACTCCATCTGGAAATTAGTCTTCTTTCCTCTAAGAGAGACCATTAAACTGCTCATCTAAAATGCTATAACAAATGCATATGCAGGGCTGTTCTCCAGCAGTTTGACCACTGCTGATCGATAGGTGCAGTTTATTAGTATGCGGGGTAATGGAGGCGACAATCCTTCAATAACTTCTCTATTATTTCATTTGTTTCATTAATGACTTAAATCACATTGGATCATGAAGCTAGATGATTTGGATTTAGAGGACCATTTTATTAATGTCAAAAACATTTTGTAGTGCAGTTGTGAGTTACCTGTCCATATTTAGCAGCCAGGTGGAGGGGGGTCCAAAAGTTGTTGTCAGCAGGATGAGGATCTGCCCCACTCTGCAGCAGCAAGCACACCACATCCCTGTAACCACTGGCACATGCTATGTGAAGCTTCAGAGAGAGGGGCATGGCAGAAAAAGCAAACAACAAAACTACATTAAAGACTGAGCTGAAGAAAAAAGGAAACCAGTGATAGAAGGGAGACAGAAAAGGTGAAGTCACAGAAATTAATAAATGTGACCTTACATACCAGAGTGACACCATCATCACTGGGCTGGTTGAGGCTTCCTCCTGTGGCTACAAGTTGTCTAACATCAGACAACATGGTGCTGGGTCTCTGTGTCTTTATGGCATGCACGGATGACACATCCACACCTATAATACACAAACACAACACTGATACACTAATATACTGTAGGTTTTTTTGTTGTCATGCTCAAAAGAATGGCTTAACATTTTTGGGAAACGCTATTATTCCCATTTTTGCTAAGACCTGATGAGAATGTCAATATCCCTGACATATCAGTGCATTAAGCATAATGCTGGAGCCAGGAAGTGGCTAGCTTGGGCTAACACAAAGACTGGAAACAAATGAAACAGCTTGTCTGCCTCTGTCCACACCCTTCATCTAGTTGGTCTAATAACTTTTGCAGTATACCGGATTGAATTGCATTCAAATACGAGGTTTCAGTGTTTTGCAAAAGAAATTGTTTAATTTTTTTGAGTTTGTGTTTTAATGGTTGTATGGTGTCAGTGCTGAATATGCAATTTTAGGATTATGCTGGCTGTGTGTACAGCAAAGTGAAAACAGACACATTAACAGACCTCAAACATGTAAACACACTTATGATAAAACTACAGCATGGCAGTTCAAGTGCACGCTCAAAGGTACCGGTAATTGAAATGACACGTCAATAAAAATCAGAAAATCATCAGTACTTATACAGAGCCCAAGTCCATGAACATAATGATTCAAGAGTACAATGGCTTGTCTACTGGGATAACACTAGAGGGGTGTCCAAAACTATGAAGATAAATGCACTGGTCCATAATCACATTCATAAAGTGGACTCGACTTTGGTTGCTGTAATAGTGTGGATTGATTTTCAGTCAGTCTATACTCGGATAAGCTCTGGGGCACTAACTAATGGGACTTTCCCAAATAGACCGGTTGTATCAGCTAATCAATAATGTTGTTTTGCCAAGCAAATGAGAGCCTCAGGGTTTGCAGATATTTCAGAGATGCTCATAGGAACAAAAAGAAAAAAGTTCCAGTACTTACAGAATCAAGTAGTACATGAAACACAGGCTATGACAATGAGAATAAATACTAGAATTTTTATTTTGGCAAAGCACAAAAAAGTACTTTCTCCTCTTTTATCCCTGATGTACAGACACATGGACAGTCTCTCACAACCACACAAACTTGATGGGGAAAGAGACCATGCAGCCAAGTTGCTATAGCAACAGAGTCTGAGTGGGCCTGTGCGAGTTAGAGTGTTTCATTGTGGCACAGCCCAGTGCAATGGGAGGGTGGCATCGGGGGAGCTGAAGGTAGACAGAAAGAAAAAGATAACCACAGGGGCTAGCAGACACAAGCAGCAAAATAAAAAAAAAATGTAGCTAGGTAGTTTGAGTGAGCCTGATTGTGTGTATGGTGGACTGAGCATTGATGAGTTAGCTGCCTGCAGTCAGACGCTTGCATTTGTCACGTGATTCCATTGAAGCTCATGGGTGGCCAATGACAGATGGCTGAGGAAAGACCCTCCATCATTGTCTAGATCTGCTTCTGTCTAGCTTTGTCAGCATGATTCCCCTTCGTCTTTGTGTTTCCCTGGCAATTTTCCCTGCTCTCCCTCTGCCATACAGTGTCTGTGCCTCTACCATTTTACCTCTACTGTGCCTTTATTTCTGTTATTCACAGCCCCTGTGCTGACCTTCTCCATTCTCAGTGGGAGACAAGTGCTCCATTTGCAATCCACCATCATTAAGTCTGTGGGTGTACTTCACCTTCACACAAACACTGTGGGTATGACATATTAACCATTTACATTATCCCACTGTGGCCTACTACAGGAAAAGAAATATTTACTTTTCTTATTACATGTAATCTTTTTTTTTTTCATTTTCTGAAAGGACTGTGATAACATGGAAATGAGCTATCAGATTTCAATGAATCACACTGTTAATAGGGCTGGCGATTCATTTAAGAAGTTACATTTCTTGAAATTCTCTTTTCATCCCAGTGGTACTGAATACATTAAATGCACTGACAACATGGCAGTGGTAGGGCTGAAAAAAGCCTGACCAGTAATTTTTCTCAGCTCAAGGAAAACCACTGAATGGCCTACCTGCCTGTCAACCTCACTGCCTACTTGCTGGCACGCTGCCCTTGCATTCTGTACAAGCCAAGAGTCTCCCACAAAGTGCTGTAGACAGAAGTGCCTGTTTTTATAACTAAAGCTAGCAAGCTATGCCAGAGGAGGAAGCCACAGCAGCTTTTGGTTGCAAACGAAGACACACTGGAAAACTTGGGAGTTCACCTTGAATACAGCTCACAATGAATGAAATGTGAAATGTCAGAGTTATCCTTCTGTCTTACACTCTTATACAGTACAACACAAAACAAACAAACAGTCGTGCCAAGCTTTACCATTTTCCTCCAGGTGTTTACGTAGAATGTAGCTGCTCTCAGTTCCCTCAGAGGCGTAGTCCAGAGGAATGTTTCCATTGACGTCCTGCAGCATAACGTTCACTCCAGCCTACGGGACACAGGGCAGAAAAAAAAAGCACAGAGGTCACACACCGGGCCATTCATCAGACTGGAATCAATGATAAAGTGTGCCCAGTTATCCTGGCATCCCAGAGGCAGATAACAAAAACAGGGTGACATGAACGGACAATATAGTGAATTAAAGAACTCATTTAAAAAATGTGCCTCAGGGGATGAGACGGAGAAGAGCAAGGGTGTTGATTACAGTCACCCGGGATCACTGGGGTGAGCATGTGTTTATTCAACAATGACCTTGCCAAAGCAGTCTTCTGTTATAGCATGGGAGACCTTCCCCTGGGCTCCTTTAATGACTCTGATGATAGCACAGCTGTTGGTCAAAATATAGAATTGTTTTTCTTTGGGGGAACTCTGTTGCACTCATTGTAAAAATGCTCCTTTAGCAGTTGAACACAAATGTCTATATGCAAAATGGATTTCATTCACTTACTGTATGTGGACCTTCCTGCTGCCATTTTAATTTTTATCATCTCCTTTTTGGGGTTAGGTACTTTGAAGGGGCAGTTGTCAGCATCCAGCTATAAATTGCTTCCTGTTGTTTGACTAAACCATAAAGGACTAGCCAGTGTAACGACCGTAGCTGGATCAAGTCTCATAATAGGAATGGAGGACTGTAAGCAAAGATCTTTATTGTATATTTACAGCTAATAGAATTCTAAAGTCTTCGTTGTAGCATGGGAGAGAGATTTATGGTCTAGTTCTCAGGGAGGCAAAAAGGGGAAGGGATAGGGAAAGTGAAAAATGAGAGGAAGTGTGAGCAGGGAGTCTGCTGACAGAGCAACACAAACGCTCAGCAACCTTGAACCGTTTAACTGAATTATAAATTAAACAACTAGATTCATTTTTAATTCTGAAACATGTTTGCATACATTTATAAAACAAAGCAGTTACATCGTAATAAAGGCAGTGCAATTCCAGTTTTCAGAGAGTCAGTTCAGGTGAGGGTTGAGGTTTTCTTTGTACACCCATCTGGGATTTCTAGTGGGAGCTGCTTTTGCTCATTTATGAAGGTTTATCAGGGGTTAACAATGGGCATTCATTAACATTAACGACTATCAGCTTCTGCTTCATGACTATTCATGAGAAGACAAGAAACCTTATCGCAACGTGAAGAACAGCTTGAGGAACAAGAGGTGAGCTGGTCAGCTCGTTTCCACACAGCCCACTACCACACGCATACAGTATTTTACAAGCACACACCCCCACCACTCATCCCTCTGTTATCTTCTAATGACAAATTTCAACTGCTTCATCTATATTCCTTAGATTAGTGCTTTCACCCCCAAACAGTGATCAACTTCTTCATAATCCTGACAGCTCCTCTCAGGCCTTTTCTGTTAATATGCATATGTTTTTGTGTGTATGTGTGTGTACTAAAGAGGCATGCCAACCCAGACAATTCACTTCAAGGTCCAGTAAAAGTCAATAGGAGCCTGGCTGGATGAAGCTATCAGCTGACAGACAGGCCTTGCTCTGTGTGATAGGAGGCTGCCCTCACCACCCACCACTTTCAATCACAGCTGTACAAAAACCAGCTCTTCAAATGCTGAAATGTAGATGGTGCTCTGAGAACTGTTTTGTAAAAACATGAAATATAGTCAAATTTTAACTTCTACACCATGATGTAATCATGTGACAGACAGGCGTTGGAGTAAAACTGTTCTTAAAAGCAGTCGCAAGAAAGTAAACAACATAACAATAAACTGTAACAGATGGACTTGTCACTATAAAAGTAAATTATCTAAAGTTTCTTGTATGCCATACAAAGCTCCAAGACCAACAGACATATTATGATAAAGTAACCATAGGGATACGCCATTGATCAAGAGAAATAAATGATGTTTCTAAGCTCACATGACAGTAACTGACAGATATAAACGAGTTGGTGCAAATTCACAGGCTGCTCGGGTTAACAAGTTGACATCTGACCCTAAGCTCCCTGCCACAATGTGACAGATCCACTTCGAGTGTCCCAGAGATGGAAATCTGTTAATATCATGCTGCCTGTGGTTCATAATGACAGTTGTTACACTCAGTGGCTGCAAATGAATCAATAACAACTAGAAGATACAGATGAAAGCGGTCCCTAGGGCTGTCGCTGCTGAGCTGGACACCGTGGCAGCACAGGAGAAATCTAACCAACGAAAAGACATCCCATATACTAGTTTCAAAAACCTATATGGTGTTTATTGTGTCTATTGTGTTTAGAGATACATGGTTTAATTGTCCTATTTACAATCATATGTGTATTAAGGTTCAAAATAATGCTAAAGCTTTCTCTAAATGCTAACATGCTCATGCTATATATTCTATTTAGATTTTCTTACATTTTTGTTTTTATTCCCCCCAAAAATCTTTATTCTCAAGGAACCCTCAAAGTTTATTATCACTAAATTGTGACAAAAAAAAGGCACCAGAAGCAGCATGTTTTACAACCGAGCATTGAAGTTATTACTTTCAAACGATCGCACACAACATCTGCTCAGCTGTGCCGTGCTACACTAATCACATTTTAAAATCACCATAAAACCTTTTTGTCTGCATTTATTGTTTTAAGATTCACAACACAAAATATATACTCACATGTGCATCAGCAACAAAGTACTGACTTGGATTTAAGGATGAATAGCTTAGATTTTAGTGGTGAAACGTCAAAGGTCAGTTACTTCACTTCTGTGCCATACCCATGAATTTAACTGGTTGGTGGAGGCATACAACCGTGAAGTGGTATTTCTAGTTTCATAATTGTTAGACTTAGCAGGCTTGGGACATATATGAAAGTAAATAATACACTATAGGAAAGTGCAACAATGGCTTGATCAACCTGTATTGTATTTAGTGGAGGGAGGGATGGAGGCAGTGTAGAACTCTTTGCAGCCAGGGACTTGCTGTTAATAAGCACTCAGAGTTCAAAAGTTTCAATCTCAATGTTTACGAGCACAAAAAGTAGGTTGACTCTGCAGTTGTATCTTTCAGAGATTTGAACTGAAAGATGAGAAATAACATTTTGGAAAAGATCTTGTCCCCTGTGGACTGCGTCAGACGACTCTTGCTCAAGCAGGCACTGAAGAAGAATGAGGGCAAATCTGCAATTAACTATGACTCTTCACAGCTTTTTCCTGGGTTTCATAAGAAATGAAATTTGGAAGACATAACTGTGCTTCTAGAAGAAATATGAATTGCTAAGTACTAGTGGGTTGTGGCTTTGAATAGAGATGTCACAGAAGGAGAGAAACAGATGGAGATCAAGAATCTCTGCTGAGGCATCCTGATACCTGGACATGGAAATCAAAATGAAAAGGTAAGAAGTTCAGTCTGGTTTTGTTTGGTGATGAGACAATTTTCATACACAAATATTACGACAAGACTGTAATATTTTTATGTAACCATTGCTAAAGACTGCACATGTTTTAATTTGTTAAGCGACAGTCCACTCGATCTCTGCAATGCCAGTTAATCCTGCCAGGGTTGGAAAATGGGTTGGAATTTAGAAATGCTTTCTTCCCTCTCGTTGTGTTTGGAGGCATGAGATAAGAGAATTAATATTACACACCGTGTCCAGGTTACAACTAATGACGCGCGCACACACACACACACACACACTTTCTCCACAAGACGAGCTTGGTAACATCTCTGTCAGCAAAAACTACTTTGCCTCTCTGTGAAGAAACTGGTGACAGCAAATCAGGGACAGACAACCAGAGGACAAGGGGAGAAGAAACAGAGAAAAAGATGGCAGAGTAGGAGACAAAGGATTAGTACATATTAGCAGCACTACTCCTTCCTGTGTTAATCAAAGATAAGGCTGCCAGTCAAGCTCTTGCGAGACCACTGTTTCACTTCTCATTAAAATATAAACCCATTTCATTCAGAAGGAAGATTTTGAGCTTACAGCTCTGATAAAGCAGCAGTGAGAGAACAGAGCAGAATGACTGGGCATTGGCAGGGAATGGAGGAGATGCAAGTCAAAATGAATGAATGGAAGAAGCAGGATATTGCCTCTCAATCAAAAATATGGTTTGACAGAAGATATTTTTTACCTCAGCACAGAGAAATGGCCTTGGGCTCCCCCTTTTAGAAATCATCTTCCTTGCTGATTAAACCAGGATAAAAACCTCAAGTGTTTATCTTACCCTAAAGAAAAATGGCATTTTGGAAATTAAGATGTTTCAAATCTCCTGTCTTAGTTGTTTAGTATTCCCACAATTCCACAAGCATGCAGAAAGGCACGCTCACACTGAAGCTTATGCAGTCACATAATTAAGCATTTGGTATCAAAGGACATTCAAGCTGTGAAGACAGAAAAAATGTTTTGATGGAAATTTGTTCTTATGTGATCTTTTTTGCAGTGCTGAAACTGAACATTTCACTTTCTTAGTAATGCCCCCATCCCCCCTCAACCCACTGCTCTTTTCCAGCTGGGGGGGGTTCTGCATAATATGAACTCATTAACTAGGAACTTGTTCTGCCTTTGTAATGAATGGAAGGCATTTAGTTTCTGCCTCCCTGGGAGTAGTATTAAATCTCTCTCTCTTCTGGCATTAGCTATCATAAAAGCATAACTCACTGAATAAAGAAATGCATTTGGCATATCTACTGTATACCATACCCTGCTGTACTAACTAGGCAGCCTGCTGAATCTTTGCAAAATGCATGCAAATACAAAACACACAACACGTACATAAATCCAACAGTCATACAGTACAGGATAACAAATTCACTCTGCACACCCTTTGTGTGGCAGCTCTTCAAACATATCCATTCCTCTCAGTAAGAGCTCTTTCCTGCAGCATAGACAGGTAGCTAGCAATCACTCAGGCCTCAATCAGCAGAACTGGCCTGTAAAGAACTACAGACTGCAGTAAACTCTCCCTGGGTCCTAATCAATACCAGCACAGCAGACTCAGCCCACTGAGTGACAGGGCTAGATGTGCATGCCCTCCTCTGCAGCTGGCCCTGCTCTCATTATGAACCCAATCAGTACAACCACAGCTCTTGTTAAGACGTCCTCCACAGAACAGGCTCTTTTTGATATCATGCTAATGCAGAGTTTCTAAATATTCTCGTTTTCAGTGATTCAGCTGGATATGTGAGAGAATGGAAAGTTGTGTTTCAGGCCCTCAGTAACCCAAAACTCTTCATCAACAGAAGATTCTCCACTTGGACAGAAAATTCTGGATGACTAATGTGAATCCAGTCGGTGCTTCAAAGCTAACTTGAAACATAAAGCTTCTCTGCCATCCCATTCCAAAACACTAGTCTAATTTGTAGCTGGCACACTTTGAATTGAAAGGATCAACAAGGAAAACACAACTGTATCCAAAGAATGTATCCGTGCCTGTCTGTGTGTACTTGTGGTATAACCATTCTCTCCCAGTATAATACGTGTTCATGTTTGCATGAGCATTTCTCACCAGCAGCAGCAGCAGCACCATATCCGCATGGTCACACACACATGCTACATGTAGGGCTGTCCAGAGGTCTTCGTCCTGCAGGTTAACATTCAGGCCTCGTTCAATCAGAAGCTCTGCCGCGAACACGTTGTCATGCCGAGCACACTGCAGAATGCAAGGACAGTAGATTTCTCAGTTATTCAGTTTCACAGATGTTTATTTCCTGATGCATTGCTAACAATATAGAGTGCATGAGTGGTTCAGTGTATATCATGTAACAATAACAGTATGTGGAAAATGAAATGCAAATTTTTTTATTGCAACAATGGTGCCTTGTATGCAAGAATTTATGAATGGTTAACGGGACACTACAATGTTGGGGAAGTGACAACTTAGTTCCTCCTGGTATTTTTTAGCAAATTGTAGCATAAAATGCGCACCCTCTGTGCAAAATGATGGGCAGTTGTCTCTTTTGTTTTGGCACACATGTGCACACTAGGGCTACTTTATTAAATTCAGTGATCATCAGTCTGAAAGCCCAAATGTTTTGCTGCAACAAGTTAACCATTTAATCATAGTAATAAGACTTGATTTTACCAGATGTAGCAACGATCCCCCGGAAGAAATGGGAGTGTTGGGGTCAGCTCCCTCCTTCAGGAGATGTAACACTGGAAGACAACAAACACCCATAGCTTAACATCTGTTGTATATTAAGACGACACTTAGTGCCTGCTCTACAGGCACATACATACAATACTTAGACAGACACAGCATGCCACTCACTAACAAAACCAGTATGTGCTAGGTGTCCTCTGACTGTCCTTGATGCATCAGTGCAGATTAGTGTTAAGGTGGTGTGTGCGTGTGTGTTCATTAACTCCTTGTTACTGTAGCAGGTCAGAAAGCCTCTGGGTTACACACATTCACACTGCATGCTATACTGTGAGCTCCGAGCCACACAACCCATTCACACACTGACACAGATCTACTGAAGAAAACACTAACTGCTGCAAACTTGTTCAGGCAGTCAGTCATAAAATAACGAGCAGGGAGTAGACTAAACCGGGTCACCGTGATTTTACCATACCACTGGTGTATTTCAAATCAAAATTTACAAAAATAAATGAAAATACAGCAGGAGACAGTGAGTGAAAGAGAAAAGGAGCGTACTCCAGTGTGTGACAAATAAACAGTGGGCTGGACAAACAAGTGAGAGCATGAGATGGATACTGACTAAACCCTGGAAGACCTTGTATGAGCAAAACAGCCACCACTGTTATGCAATCTACACACACACACACACACATACATTCTTTGTGATCATCACTTACAGGCGAAGTTATTTGAGTTCATACAGAGACTTAAAATTAATTTCCTGGAGACTTACCCTAACCTTAACCAGAAAGGCTGCTTGCCTAACCTTAACCCTAACCCTAATCTTAACCAAAGCCAGCACTTGCTCTAACCTTACACCCTGTCTTTTTTGTAAAATTCAATGAATCAGTCTTGGGGTCCAGCCTCTGGTTCTCTCACAGGTGACTTCCAGACCCTGCAAAGCAGTGTGCTTCCAGTATTCCATCCACACAAGTATATATAAACAAGACCACATCCACACATACAGCAAGCATGTTTTAAAGCACTAAATGTTTAGTTTTTCTGAAACTGTCTTGAAGAGGTATTAGTTAAAAATCACAATCATACAATTCAAAAGCACCACAAGCTATAGTTTCTAGAGTTTGTATTGTACAGCATGTGTATACTATACATACAAGTGTAGGTCTGCCTGCATTATATGTATAATTCACAAATACAGATAACCATGTCTGATGTACAAACTCTCATACATGCATAACGCATCCATCCCCAGTCCCAATATCTATACATTAACACTGCCACTAATGTTAGTTATGACCATTATTATACAGTATATTATTAGATGAGATTATTATATGTTAAAGAGTTTGAACAAGAGTTGAAAAACAGCCAAATACTGGAAGGCATTTAATTTACAAAGAATAAATGACAGCTTCCAACTGTCACACTGAATAAGATACAACCCACAAATTCATGCTATTTATATTTGAGAAATTACCTATACATTTATCACTTACCAATATTTTCATCAGTTTGTTTCCAGCCAGTTGACTAATGAATTAAATGACTAATCATTGTAGAAGTTCTGCACATGCATAGTTAGCAAGCAGACCAAACCCACACTGAACAGACATTTTTCCAGTCGCCTAATAGCCGTCAATGCTTAATGGCCTTTAAATGGTTGACGAGAAACCAACTGGCCAACCTTGGAGCACAATTATCTCCCGACTCCTCAACATATAGTATTCTATAGGGGCTCAGGACTGTAAACCACCATTTAAGGCTCATCTAATGCTTAAGTACTTACCAGGGAATAAATAATGATCTGGCTTTCCTGTCTATTAAAAAGTATATCATACTGCTCATTAGTGACTGTGGAGCAGCAAAATTCAAGCATGTGAGGCATCACATGATTTGCTTCTTCCGGTGATTGTCAGTAGTCAAGACAATCTCTTGTGTATTAAACTTCCCAGAGCCAGTTAGTGTTTGTCTTTGAAAGAAAACCCAGAGTTTTATGGCACATTATTAAATGTCTCTAAAGAAAGGTCGAAGGTCAAGAGCTACAAATTGACCCTGAGGCAGGTGAAGAAAAAAGTAAAGCATTTGTCTAGCAATAGTGCCATAAGGAACCAATAGTATTAATGTTCCATTGGCAGGTTTGTCATGACCAACCACTGTTCCAGTTTATGTGTGAAGCCACCAAAACTGCAGTGCGAAGGACAGGCTGCTCTGGCAACTCTATAGTTAGCACCATTAGTGTATTTCATTGTATTTAGATGGCGCTCTGGGTTTATAGCAAAGCGTTTATGTCTGTTGTATTGTAGCTGAAGGGGAAAAGGAACACTGGACATGACTGGTATTTAAATTTAGTGAATGATTTACAGGTACAGTACAACAGTTATATGATTGTCTGACAGCAACAGCAACAATTTCCTCTCTATGTTAAAGGTTTGTCAGCTTTTGACTGACTTAGCTGACGAAGCATGTGCGTGTGTCTGTACGTGTGTGTCTGTGCATGTTATCCATTTATCAAGAAGCTGCAGACAGGAAAAGGGAGAGTGGCCATAAAGCAAAATTTGACTGTCATTTTGTGGAAAATTGCAAAGCAGCTGTTTGAGACATATGTGGAGTTTCCATGGCAACCAGATAGGAACTTGAAGCAAAGAGGAAAAGAGAGAGAAATGAAGAATGTCTCCACTCTTGAAAAGGGAATTTAGATATACAGTACCTTCCCTCTGTGCCAAGAAACAATATCACTAACCTCTACAGCAAGCCATGTTAGTGATAACAATATTACTCTGTTGAATTTCAGCTTCTTAAATTGATATGATGCACAAGCCGAGTGAGCATGCGCGGTAAATACAGTACATGACTGAATGTTCTTATCTTCAGCCTTTCTTTTCAGTTGTTTCGCTCGTCCATAAATTTCTGGACCATGATATTCCATGAATTTTATAAAATCCCTGTAATGCACCCTTCATAATGTGCTGCTTACAGCAGTATTGCCAATTTTCTTCCTACAGAAACCAGATGTATTCTCCCCATGTGCAGCATCATTCCTTGGCAGCCCCATATGAGATTTGTTCAAATCCCACACCCTTATAAATGCTACTGTCTCTTTGGTCCTTATCATATAGTCATAGCCACAAGAGTGAGTCTCAGCTCACTGCCCCACGTCTGCTTTCCAATAATGCTTAACTCTAAATGCAGATCATCTTATGATGAGTTTTGTAATGAAGATCATGCACCTCCTGCTTACTTGTTCAAGGACAAGATGGTTTTATGGATTACTGGCACATGCCAAAGTATTTGGAGGACCTAAAATAAGGATTTACTTCTTGTTTTTAATGTTAATTTATGTGCTGTAACAGTGAAGGAAAACATCTATACTAGGGATGGGATGATGGGATTTTTTGCTGCATATGATTTGATGCACAATATGGTGTGTATGATTTGATTCAATCACAATACAATTAAAAATTAAATGTCGACAACATAGCAAACATATATTGACTTATGTTCTGTTAGGCTATCTTATTTACACAAAATATGAAGTTGCTGGGGGACAACACGATATATATCGCTAGACAGAAAGATACATATTGGGGCACTTTTGTATTGAAATATACTGAATTTTGATACAATGTCCCAACCCTAATCTTTACTGAAGATTACCTGTATATCTCTGCGATAACATGAGTTCACAAAATCATTTGCTCCCTCATCTACCGTATTATTAACCAAATTTATAAACCAAAGGTTTCATATTAGAGGCACAGATAAATGAAGCTTCCAAATGATGTGGTTGACAATAAAGAGATCCCTGCTGTATCAGAGTGAGAGATGTGGGGTTTTAAATCAGATTCCAATAAAAGATAACATGATGTTGTCTCTGCCACCTCTGTGGGCCAAGGCCCCAGTTCTGTCAAAACATGGTGCAGGTGCTAGACATGTATTTAATAACAGCAAAGAAACATCACTGTTCTCCTCTAACATTCATATTTTTCTTGAGCACTGATACATAATGTTTGGAGGTTCCCACTACAGTGTAGTACAACGCCAGCTGTCTGACACAACCATTACAACTACAACTGGTGTCTAGAAAACATAATTTCCTTTGAAAAGCACACAACAACATAGAGAAAGACAGTTTGGGATATACCCTAATCTGCATGAACACAATTTGAATAAACTGATCTAAATCAGCCCATTGTATGATCATTAAAATATTTATGTCTGTTCAATATCGGGGACTGAGAAGGACTAAGAGCTACAGCGCCACCTTATCATTGCATTCCTTGGAAGTTAAGAAGTATTTATTGTAGAGCCAATGGGACAAAGGCCTGTTTAAACGTCCACAAAACTGGCTGCTTTGTTTGGCAAGGGGTATTGCTGCAGGGCTGGATCAGCACAAATGGCTGAACATTATACACCTGTAGCACTTGATACACATGGTGTTCTTAGGGTATGATTCAATATTATGAATTGTGTCTAAAGCAGTGCTCCAAAACACCACCCAGGACTGAAAGCTATTACTGATACTGTTTGCTGCTTGCTTCACTTCCTCACTATGGAGAAGTGACTGAAGTCTGTGAGTCACTTTCACCTAAAGACAGTGGGATGATTCTCTGGGGATCATGAAAGTCTTTCATGCCGATGTATCCGGTGGTTGTCAAGATATTTCTACAGAACTCTGAGAAACTAATCACTTAAAAAAATAGTCATCTTAAATGTATCTATTTATTTATCAACTCACAACATTGTGCACTTTGTGTTATTCCAGGAATCATCATCTCAGTATCAGCAGACACCAAAGTGTCATAGTTAATATCATTATACTGTCGAGAGGGGAAAACATAATAAAAACTGACTGTAGCTTCCATGGCCATGACAATAGCAGCAGCTGTGTCGCTTTGATGAAGTTAAGATATTGGTTTGGGAAAAGCAATTTCACCAAATGTCACAAAGCAAGTAACTCCGGTGTTTGCCACAGATAGGAACAGAGAAGCGAGATGAGGTACGTATGCTTCTATCTAACTATAGGGCTGTGTGTTATTGGTACAACTTCACATTAGCCTAACAATATCCTTCACCACCTGATGCCTCTTTCCTGCTGCCTTTCAACACAGTCCATCAGTCTCATTTCACACTTGAAGGTTATCCACAAGATGAAAGTTTAATGATAACAATGACAATAAAATAATCATATCTGATATAAATATTTTGAAACTGCTTGGAAGAAAATCAGTAATCAAATTTCCTGTTTAACATTTTTGTTCCTGGCAAAATAATTGCCACTGAGTTACAAATAGAAATCTCTTATTTTTTTTACCCCAGATTACCCTCTAGGCTCTCAGTGCAACACGTGTTGCTCTGGTGAGGGTTCTATCACCAGGTAAGTACTTGTCGCCCTGCATAAAAGAAGAAGAAAGCTACGTAAGTCAAGTAGCGATGGTGAAAAAGCAGTTATCACTCAGAGCACCAGCACCACAGAGGAAGGCTCAAGAGCAGTTACTTCAAGGGGGTCTGGACACTCACAAATAGACAGAAGCAGAAATTAGGTCAATAGAACAAGATAGGCCAACTTGACATGAACAGAACATAAAGCTTTCAAGCAGTCCCTTGACTCAAGGAGTCTGTTGGAAGTGAGTCTGTCACTCAGGCAGTGACTTCTGTTTTGTATAATCTTAAGCCAATTCCTGCCTTTACCACAGAAAGGCAAATTGTAGCCTGGTATCAGTTCAGTGCCACAGTGGAGCTTGGGTGGTGGGGTAGACATTAGGCAGAGGGGTATCAGATCTGATTCATGCCAAGCCAAGGAACCCTGCTGCAATGAAACACCAGCTGCTCCCACAGAGCCTAGCTGAACCTCACTGGCTGCCAGGGAGCAGAGATTAACACAGTGACCTGCCAAGACTACTGGTAGGACTGACACAGATACAGCCAGACAGCTGGATAAATAACTGGCATAAACAAAAAGAAAAGACAGTAGGGCTGGATGAATATTAGCACCCTTTAGAGTAAAGTGTGAACACCTCTTGAATCTTATAAGTCTGTTGACTATCTGATCTCATAAAAAGAGACTGAGAATTGATTGTGTTTTTACTGGGAGCCCGGCCACACTCCAGCATTAAACTGAGGCCTGAGGGTAGATACGGTTTTCTGTTTATCCAACATAAGTTCTCATAGTTATTTTGCCTGACTGATACACTGACAGACACAAAGACATATTCCAGACATGTTACATGTTCACAAAAAGCAGCAAAATAACACAACCATGCTCAATACTTTGCTGTATGTATTTTAAATACTATTATATTGTGTCATCTGTATTTATAGAAATAATCCTAGTGCACCCAGTAATGGCAAGTCACCATTTGGAACTATAAACTATACATTTCCAAACTCTCGTCACTGCCGCTGAAATGTGTAGAAGACAGAAAGTAAAAGCAAATGAGGTTGTTTTACCTTAAGTCCAACAAAAAGTGCTGCACTGTGGAATTACTGTTTGTGCTCAACAGACATTATTATCTCATCTAAGGTATTTTGTCCCTGAGAGCTGTTTGCGTCAGATAAGATAAAAGTTCCATTCTGTTCTCCTTGGCCAAGTGGACGGCTTCCAGGAGAACTAATCATGTGACCAACAGTCAGCAGCACTATTTTGGCCATCAGTGTGAAAGAGAGTTTGAGTGTTTTGTGTACGCATCCACGCACTCTATAGCTTTTCACTCAACCATAGTTATACACCCTCATACTGTATGTGCACCCATTGTACATACACACCTTCTTTGTCGTCATGACGAATGATGGCATCTTGTATGACGTCGACATGGCTGAAACGGACGCTATGCTTCTTGCGGTGGATGGGAGGGACTCGAATCTTGATCCCACCTTGCTGGCGCTGAAGGTTTTTTTCCCTCTCATAATACGCTCTTATTTGGTCACAGCGCATCCTTCTGACCAGCCGCTGCCGCTGGCCAACGGGGAGAGACTCCAGCAGACACTGGTCTATCTCCATGTTCTGACGAAACACATTACATAGCTGGAAGCAACCTAATGTGCAAGAGAGACAGACAACAAGCCAATGATACTGATGTTTAGTGTCAGAAAATTATAGAACTGCATAAAAATAAATGCAAATGTGATTTATTTGTGCATTATCTGCTACCATTAAAACTGTGATGCAAGCTGTCCATGCAGTGAGAGCGGAAGACAACCTGGTGAGTCAGTGAAAACACTACAGACCACAGTGTTTACTCAGATAATTTGATACTGAGCTAATGAGACAAGGTTCGGATGACAAAACACGCTAGCTTTGAAAGTTTCACCTCTTGACAGAACTGTGCTTAACATCATTTTGTGTGCATGGATGGCTTGCGTGTCTGTGCTTGCACTCTGCCCTGCTGTGTATGGGCCATCATTTAGCATATTTATGATAAAGCATATTTGCTCTGTTTGGGTAGCCCTGGCCTGTGGTGGGTTGAGTGAAGTATTGCAGCATTTTGCATGTAGTGATTCTCCTGACTCTGCCTAATCTCTCTCTGCCTCTCAGTGGAACTTAGCCAAACAGCTGCTAAACCTACTGAGGTCTTGTTGGATGATGAGGATGTACAGTGCTTGTGCAGTAAGTGGACTCAGAATTAGATTCACTAAGCTGGCCCTTTGTTACTCGTGTCCTTTAGTCCCCTACCTGTTTTAACTGGACCATGTTTGTCTCTCAGTTGATTGTGGCTCTCTTTGTTTCTGTATTTCAACTCTCTCTATCTCTGTCAGTATGTCTTAGCATGTGTCAGTGTTTTTTCAGGTGAATAGTATTGTTAGTAAAAAAAAATCAGTATGTGTTTTCCCTGTTTCCCACCTCCCTCTGTCTCTTTCCAACTACTTTATCATCTCGTCATATCGCTCTTCATCTTCATATTGTATATCCAGTGACATGCAAAAGTCTTTGAACAGGGTAGGCATCGAGGAGTCAAAAAGCAACATAACTATAGGCCTAAGAGATGTCCTCACTAGTCCTCCAACAGACATGAGTGGGCTGTTGCTACTGTCTGAACTGTATACATTACACTGCCGCTTTAGGGCATTCTGTTCTGAGGTGTGTTTGGATGAGATCTTTATCATGTACTGTATAAATAAAGACCCATACAAAGAAATGAAGCCGGTGTGACTGTGCTTTTGTTCTTTTTGAAATACTGTATATCTGCACATTCATACAAACACCTGCCACCCTCCACCCTTCTTTGTCACACATACATAAACACACACACACACCGCCTGCACAATACACCACTGCCATCTGCTCTGGTTAGACATGTAAAAAGGGTCTTTTATGCTCAGGCTCCAGACAAGAGGGGTCATTATTACACTGTTCATGCCAGGTGTCTACTTCAACAGTATTTTATTATAAGATCTTGGCTGCACGTTGAGCGGACGAACATAAAAACACAGTCACCCTGCTGCTAAGTTTCCCAACATCACTCCACTCCATCCCCTCAGCTTCCTCAGTCCCCTGTTTTTCAGTTTGTATCCAAAGTAGACACCTATTACAGTGGGTGCACTGATATAAGTTGCCTTGATCTATTGTATACTGACAAATGCAGGTTTAAAGAAATACTGAGAATCAAGAGCAGAGCTCATCACCATTCCTGGTGCACTGGGCTATATTGTATATAGTTGTACCTACTGTACACACATTAAACACTTTAGATGACAAGCCTAAGCCTGTGTACCAGTCAACTAGAGGTGGATACAGTGTGAGTGCAAAGCTCTGTGTGCTGAACTAGGTAAAACATACAATAAGATTGCTTTCATTATGAGTTATTTTCTTGATTAAATTAAATCGTTCCAGCTATAAAATTGTGAGAGAAACTTTTGAAATCATAGTTTCTTCATCATATCTTCATATTGCTTGTTCTGTCTGATAAAATCCAGAAATATTCAATTTCTAATATATAAGACAAAAAAATGTGGCCAGTAGTCACAAATGAGAACCTGGAATTCAATAATGCTCAATTACTAAATTAATTAAATTAGATTAGATTAGATTCAACTGTGTACCAGTCAACTAGAGGTGGATACAGTGTGAGTGCAAAGCTCTGTGTGCTGAACTAGGTAAAACATACAATAAGATTGCTTTCATTATGAGTTATTTTCTTGATTAAATTAAATCGTTCCAGCTATAAAATTGTGAGAGAAACTTTTGAAATCATAGTTTCTTCATCATATCTTCATATTGCTTGTTCTGTCTGATAAAATCCAGAAATATTCAATTTCTTTTATATAAGACAAAAAAATGTGGCCAGTAGTCACAAATGAGAACCTGGAATTCAATAATGCTCAATTACTAAATTAATTAAATTAGATTAGATTAGATTCAACTTTATTCTCATTACCCATGTACAAGTACAAGGTAACGAAATGCAGTTTAGCATCTAACCAGAAGTGCAATAACAGTGTGAAAAGTGCGCAGTATCTACAGTATGAACAGTTAGAACTAATTTACTGATGGATATGTACAATTGATATGCACAGTAAGATATGTAGGGTAATGTAGAGGGGTAAATGACAAATGCAGTCATGTAAATAACTTGAATGATTAAACAATTATCAAAAAGTTGCATTTTTTCTTTGCCGTGATTGAAGGTTTTGTGGTACGCTGTGAGAATATGAGAACAGGAGTCACATTTGCCACACCATGAACAACTGCAGTTTAATATTTTTCTTTCTTCTTCAGAATATTTACCTAGGAGTATGACTGACAGTAAGAAGCAGAAATAAAGCAAGTTGTGGATAAGATGACCTCTGTCTTTCCCTGTGTGCCTTGACTCTGTAAATATCATCTCTTCTTTGGTTTGGCTACTTATATCCTTCACACTCTGTCACCCCAATACATCATCTCTTAGACATACATTCAAACATATGGTCATATCAACCCATAAACTCCCAGCACACACCACATATCACATAACATTTCACTGATGGAGACACACAAGACATTAAATGATACAGACATGAAGTAGATGGATATATTGTTCATTAGATTTAAAAAGAAACAGCTGAGTAAAATAGCATTTTGTTTATATAAAGTGATATAAATGCTCTTGTTTAAATAAATATTGATGTACACTCAAGGTGCTTCATGGTTCATTCCAACTGCACAGCAATTCACATGTAATATTGTGACGTTGTGAAATCTGTCCCTTATGACCTGTTTTGTGTTGCTGTGTGTTGGATTGTGGTTTAATCTGGTGTTGATATGAAAGTATTGGCTAGTGTAAAAAAACATCCCCGGGAGCTTTTCTTTGTCTTTTGTTTCTAGATGAAAACATCAAGTATGGCCAGTATTACATGAACAAAACAAACTATAAAAAAGAATTTGCTCTTAACCAGTATTTCCATGAGTTCCCATTCTTCAACTGAAAACGGTATGCTGATGAATACATGCATTTCTACTCATTTTTGCAAATAAATGTATTTCAAGTCTTTGCAATGTAACGTTTCTACAAAGAAACAGCTAAATGGGGAAAATATAGACCCAAATGCAAAATCTTCACAAAGGCAGGCAGATATACTTGAACAATTTACCATAACACAAGAAACAAATGGAAGCTTATTAGAGTTAAGGGTCAGAAACCATGCAAGCAGCCCAGAAATATAATTAGTCCAAGGAGTAAAACAAAAGAGAGAGTCCAGTGGTGGGCAGAGTTCAAAATCCAGGTCGAGGCCAGAACAACATCTATCACTAGGAGCACTTAGAAACATGGAGGGCTAGAAAACTGAATCGAACAAAGAGCACAAAGCTACTGCAGAGAATGTTTGCTGCTAGGGTAAATACAAACTAGATTATTACACAGACAGAAAGTAGGTGAGCATGGGCAGAGTGGGATAGCAAGAGTGGGGAAACAGGACAAAGACAAGGGGCAGGGTTTGAGATGACAAGGGAAAGGGACAGATCCAGGTCAGGGATTGAGACATGCACAAAATTTACTTGACAGTTGGATAGAAAAATTACAGTATGAAATAGTGTCTGCTTCTGAACAAAAATAATGCTGGCAATTGCTACTGTGTGATGAACATGATGAGAAAATAGATGGAATATGAATGAGAGTGGGCAGTAAGGACAGTAAGACTGAGTGTAATGGGCAACAGGGCTGACTGAATCTGAAGTGAGACTGAGTGAGTGAATAGATAGGAAGAGAGAGACAGCGATAGACAACAGTATCAGTTATTGACTGAATGTGGAAGATCCCATGCAGCTAATAACACTGAGTGCACTGCAGGAGATTGTAAATTAAAAAACAGCACACAGACATGTGCACAAACACACACACAGAGGATGCTATGAATGTGCAGGATATAAAGAGTTTTATATACAGTAGGAGGCAGAGATTTGGGGGCAAGACACATAGAGCTCTCAGAATCAAGGAGAGATGTCATGACAGCCTGCATCACCTCTATCACAGACCCCTACTGTGTTTGCCCTATTTTATTCTCCCTCTTTCCTTCCTCCCTAACCATTACCTCTCAAATGTCAGCATCACTCTCTCTTAGTGGTCTGTGAGGCTGCTCATCACTCTTTGCACCAGTTGACCGCATTCTTCATGTCACTCTTCCCATCCTCACCTCCTTTCCATTTCCCATTGCTGCCATTCCCTCCCTCTCTCAACACTCCTCCTCTAAATCACCCTCAGTTTCTCCCCATCTGTCCATTCTCTCCGTCAGTCTGTCAGAGTGCTATGAATATGCCAGACGTTCATGGGATCTGCGTCTTTGCGGCTTCATTTCAGCTTTCTTTCCCACTGCCGCTACCTGCCGCATTCTCGGGTCAACTTCACACATCTGCATCAGCTCTCTGCAGCAAGCTCACACACCCACTTACTGCACACACACACACACACACACACACACATACAAGGACGCAAACACCCATTCGAAGTTTAGATTGCACTGCTGTGTCAGCAGCAGGTGACCAGAATTGCTAAGCATGTAAACCATACAGTTTTTGCCACCCTGTATATATTAAATGCCAGTACCACAGGCACACATCCGTGGCTGAGGCATACCCAAGTATACTTGCGCACACACTTACATGCACAAATACAGAGATGCTGAATAGCTACTTACAGCATTTGATGAAATGGTAGTGAGACATTTTCTGAGTAAGTCAGACAGTCCACCAGTCAGATAGAAAGGCTGGCAAGGCAGGGAGAAAGGTAGGCGGGAAGTCAGTAACACAGGTAGGCAGACTGTAGGCAGCTACAGGTTCCAGCAAAACTAACTAATACAGAGCATGTAACTCCACAGGATGCATTATTAATCTAGCTCCCTGCATGCTATCCAAACTCCGTGCCCTTGTCTGCATTATTCACCAGCAGCAGCTCCAGTTGCAACCCAATGCATCATCCACAGTTCACGCTTCAGACTCACACATCCACAGACACATAACACAGACACAAACATATACACTCCCTCTGTGCACCAGTCGGCAAAGGGAGCTGTGGCTGTTTCTAGCTCTCCTTGTCTACAGCCAGATAACCGCCGCACAACGTCTTCCCAGCCATGACTGACACACGTGCTCCACTCACGTCACTGGCTGACAGCCGGCTCAGCCCACCTCCCGCTCAACACACCCCCAATGACGCAATGCTCTTCGCCTCTTTACACACCCCCCTTCCAGTCTCCTTCTGCTACACATACTGCACACACACACATATTCAATGACTCATACAGATGCACATTTCTTTGGAATATCCTCTACCTTCTCAGCCAAAAAATAAATAAAAAAGAGGAGGTGGTGAGGTGGGATTAATTGATTAATTGTGCCTCCTGCAGATTTAACACAGAGACAGAGAAAGAGAGGTCACTGGAAAAAACAGGATCGAGATAGGAATGGAAAATGGAGGAAATGCAGATACAGCAGGGGGAGCAAGAGAAAGACAAATAAGCGCAAGATGGAAAGAGACAAGAAAGAGGGGGAGCGTAAAAATGGATAGAGGGACAGCTAAAGACACAGAAGCTGCTGCAGTGCGGCTTTTGGTGTGGTGACAGGTTAAGTACTCATCAGTGGTCCTAAACTGGCCACAAATTAACCACAGATGAGTATAGTTTACTAAAACGCTATGCCTCGAGACCACTACATCAACGCACACACTCTATCATGCATTACTGTATATCATGTTCCAGTACACACAGAGTATTGACACAAGTGATACAACATGCACTGTAGTATGTGCTTGCAGTGTCTGCAGGGCAGTGCCTATGAATTTGTGTCTTGAAGCTGATTTAAATATATAAATACCTCAGAGTTAGAAGCAGAATTTGAACAAGGAGGACGAGAATGCGATGATGAATGAGGGAAGAGAGGGGACTGAGAAAGAAAGAGATATCGTGGAAAAACAACAGTCCAGAAAGAAAGAGAAAAGGATAAATGAGACAGAAAGAAAGACTGCAGACACATACACACAGCACTGTATGGATGAGCCTAAAACAGTTTAACAGGGTGTGCAGTGTGTGACTAAAGCGCTATTGTGACACATTTTGGAAATCTGTGCCATGGTGCTCACACATATACAGGTTGTGTAGCGTGCCACATTTTCTGTGGGAGATTTTAAGCTATTATCACCCCTTGCTGTCAAACATGGGCATGTGGAGATGGGATGAAAGAGCATGAGAAGTGGGTGAGATTCATTTTGTGAACAGAGAGGCGCAGCAGAGAACAAGAGGAAGGTAGAGGTGGGGGAGATGCATGTGTGTGTGCCTGACTGTAAGAGTGGGTACTTGAGTAAGTCCTGCCATGGGAAATCAGGTCACAGAAGAAACTTGCTGCTACTTGAACATCAAACTGAGTAAAATAATATGCCAGTTTTGTGTGTGCACGTGTGTATGCAAGCTCGTATGCTCCTGTCTGAATGCCTGCACATGCACAAGCACGCACACAGACAACACACACATTCACACCTCTGCTGCCCTCTGGAGCTGGGTCGTGAAGTTTTTTTAGTCAAGGATAAAACACTGACACTTTACCTGTGCATATAAATCTCACACCTCTGAGCTGACAAGAAAATGTCATGCTTTTCCATCCAAATGTTGTAAAGCAGTATTGGCTCACACTTAATCTTACTGTCTTTGCCTGCAGCACTGTGCTTGCTAGAGCAGTGACAAGCTGGAACACTGGCACCAAAGGTAAAACAAGATCTCCATGTAAGACATCCTGCTGTCAGGCAAGTCAGCTCATCTCTGGTGTAACAGTGGCCGGGTATTGGACTGGAGTCATGTCCTAATAATTCCAACCCCTTTACAGCTACAATTAGGTCATGCACCCAAGTAATGAGGTACACAGAGAGCACAGATACAGTGAAGAAAATAGAGATAGATATTTAATAGAGGGAAGGGCTTCATTACATACAGCACATATTTACTGTAAATCTTTTTGTTAAGACAAAAATGCAGCAATTACTAGTGAAACAGGTTTTATTTTTTTAAATACAAGCTGAGAGAATGTCTATGACTACACATAGAAATATCAGCCATTCAAAAATTCAAACATCAATTTCTCATTCCATTATTTAGATGTGTACAACAACATGCATCTATGCATGTTTGTATAGTATCAGAACTAAAGTTATGAATGGCAACTTGCACTGTAGCACATGGTGTATTTGACTGTGCGGAGACCACCTCCCTGCCTCCACGCAGCAGTGACAAGCTCCTATTATAGCAGCTTTTGTCCAACAGGAGATGATACAAATTTTCTTCTCTTTGACACAGCTGTCATTCTGGTATTGCCACCCTCGGGTGTTAAATAATACTGAGACTGTGCTACCACCTTAATGTCTGTGGTTACCACACTACAGTGTATGTTTCACTGACAGTAATAATGTGCTACATCTGCAGGAAGCATTCCCAGTTATAGTGAAATCAAAGACACTTGTTAAGTTTGAGGGTGATGTATTATATATGAAAAGACACCTCATCATATTTACACAAATAAATTGTTATTTATTTTACCAGCCAAATTTTTTAAGTTTTAGATATTTCCAAGTATAGTGAATACTGGCTGGCAGATGTGCACCTGTATTCACCCATAATAAAGCTTTTAGAGAAAGCAAGTGTAGTGTGTTTATTGGAAAGAAGAATCCGTCAAACCTCAGTGGACCAAAAAAAAAAACTGCTTCAGAATTAAATCAAATACACAGCCTCTGCCAAAACAAAACAGCCTCTTCCATCCAGTATTTTCTCTGAAAGCTATCAAGTGGAGCATAAACTAGCAACTTCATTGACTAGGGAAGGACTCAAGATGCTAGAAGGCAACGTGCACAAATAGAAGTGTCTAGCACAGACACAAACACAAAGGTCAGCATGAATGAGACAGACACAGGCATTATACACAACATGACTAAAGCAACAGTGAGTTTTTTGTTGAAAGAAAAATACATTTTCTAACTTGTGTTCTCATAATTGTTAATTTTTTCAGCAAAGACTGCAAAAGAAGGAATTTGCAGTCCCGATCTTGGAAAAAATTCACTAGGATGTTTGTCAAGGATTTTTTAAAAGCAACTTCAGACAGTTTTTGTCTGTAGGTCTCCGTTTGTATCTGTGAATGTTGTTTTTTTAGTCTGAATATCACCCGATGGGCTGGATTATATTGTAATCCAACCATTTTCCCCTCCAAATCAGAAGATTAGTCCAGGTTTCAACTCAACGGCAGGCATTACTCTCTAATGTTCATAATACTAGTTAATAGTCTAGCAGCAATATCGATACATTCCAAGGTGGATCGCTGCCTGCAAGGGGAGGATTTAAATGCTTCCTGACAAGGGAGACAGACACCTTGGGCTGTCATCAAGCTACAGTCATGTCATACATGTGTTCACTTTGAGCAAGTATAAACACTCACTCTAAGGCAGAGCGGTCAGCTTTATACACATTCAAAAGTGGAAAAGGCTCCCTAAACTGCAATCCTTTCACCTTAGCAGATCGTCATACAAACTGACAGCCAAGACAAAAAGAATGAATGCCCACTGAATGATTTATCAAGATTTCCTATTGGCAAAGAAATTCCTCCTGTTAGCTTGGTAGAAGGGATGTGATCCTAACAGAGAGTGATGACAGACTGATAGGTACATATAGTATATTATCATTTTATTTGTAATTATTCCTGTGCCTTCGGGTCGGGGATAGGTCTCTCACTGCCGTTTGTGCCTACGGGCCGAATGGCAGTGTAGAGTACCCGGCCTTCTTGGAGTCCCTGGGAGGGGTGCTGGAAAAGGCCCCAACTGGGGACTCCATTGTTCTACTGGGGGACTTCAACGCCCATGTGGGCAGCGACAGTGACACCTGGAGGAGCGTGATTGGGAAACGGGTCTGGGAGGAGTTCGGTGAGGCCCTGGAGAAGGACTATCGGTCGGCTTCGAAGAGAGTCTGGCAAACGGTCCGATATCCACGTTGCATATCTCATTGCTTAACTCTTTTGCTTGTCTTAACTGTCTCTACCGCTCTGCACAACATTACAGCTTTTTCCAAATCCAGATTTTGTTCTCTTAATAGCCTCTCTCTTAAACTGTTGTCTGGGATACCACACACGAGTCTGTCTTTTATTAACGAGTCTGTCAGTTCTCCAAATTCACATGTTTTACTTCTGTTTCTTAACTCTGTCACATACTGATCAATTGTGTCTCCCAGTTTTAGTACACATGTGAAAAATTTGTGCCTTTCAAAGGTTACATTTCTCTTGGGTATGCAGTAACCTTCAAACTTGTCCATTATTTTCTGTAGCTTCATTTTGTCTTCTTCAGTGTCAAACGTAAAGTTGCTGTAAACCTCCAGTGCTTCCTCACCAACCACGTGCAGGAACATGGTTTCATTTTGTCACTTTTCTCGTCGGCACCGGTTGCAGCCAGATATAGGTCAAAACGTTGTCTGAATTTTCTCCAATTTTCAGCTATGTTACCGGTCAGTTGAAGAGTTGGCGGAGGCTGTAATCCTTCCATTGCAGTGTGCTATATCCACTTTCTTTACCGGTAAGTTGGTTAACGCTGTCCTCAATCACTCTTCTGTGAGACTGTGCAGGGTTAGCTTGTTGCATCAGACGGCGTTGTCCTGTTGGCCCCAT